GAAATAGAAAGCACAGCGTTCCGTTCGGTACCCTTGGGTGGAAGGGGCCCCTTGTGTTCTGGGCAGCGCGAGATTGCGAAACACGATGTTCGAACACAGCAGAGCCTGACGCTTGACCTGTATGCGAGCAGGTTTTTAACCGTGCATACCGGTCGAGAAAAACCGACTTGCACCTACCTTTCTACCCAAGCATGCGCTGTTCAAAACGCTGTTCTATTAACAAAGAATAATTCACACATCTTAAGTGGCATATTTTATCGGTTGATCCCAACACAACACCGTGTATGGAAAGCAGGGAAATAAAAAAATAAACCGGCGTAAACGGGTAGAAGTGGTGGGGGCGGGGTAAAGGCCAGTTTAAGGAGGTGAGTTCACTTTATTGGATTCGTTGTACGATCTCACAAGGGGCTCATCGAGACGAGACCTCGGTGTTCACGGCTCCCACAGCTACCAAGATCAACTATGCCAAGCCTTACTAGACACTCTCTCTGGCAGGTCATGCGTGCCGTGTTAGGCCAATTATTTGAATGTGTTCACGTCAGCGTTATCGTGATGTACAGTGTGACCCAAACCTTGCCATCCACAAATATTTTTTTTTGTCTGTATGTCTGTGCGCCTGCGCACACACCTTGTGACGCATCTAACTGACAAACTGTTTAAACTTCGATTTAAAGCTTTCGTGACTGCAGGGATTCATATTCTTGGTTCTTTCGGTAAAGTCACGTGATGATTATTTATTATTATATTATTTTCCTTCTACGTGACTTCACCGAAAGAACCAAGAATATGACAAACTGTTGGTTTACGTCTTAACAAAGTACACAGATACGACACAATAAGCCACAAGATTTAAAAAAAAGCGCCATTTGTTTTTCCCATCCGTAAAATGTAAAGTAGTTAAATTAACAATTTATAATTGTTAGTGCTACGCTGATCGCGGCGTCAAAGCACGCATTTGCGCATGCGTGGAAATGCCGATTCATGGTTGCAATGCACACCAGCTCTGAGGCGACGGGGAAGAAGATCTCCTTCACGTTAAAAATGCAAAAAAACAGAAGCACAACACCGAGGCAAATGCTTGACAGTGTGATGTCCTCTTCTCCTTCCCCCACCCTAATGTGTGCAGTTACTACTATAGAGTCGGTAGATACTACTGTAGAGTCCGTAGATGCTACTGTAGAGCGGCCGGGGGATGGTGGGGGGGGGTAGCAGCCCAGCCCCAGCCGGGCAAGGTGCCACCTCGGCCAGCTGGGCAATCTAGCCGAGGCCGGCGACACTCCGCGGGACTAGGCCTTACCACGTCACTCTGTAGAGTTAGTAGATACTACTATAGGAGACAGTAGTTACTACTATCGAGTAGATAGATACTACTATAGCGTCCGTAGATACTACTATAGAGACAGTAGTTACTACTATAGAGACAGTAGTTACGACTATGGAGTCGGTACATACTACTGTAGTGCCGGTAGATGCTCCTGTAAAGTCGGGAGATACTACTGTAGAGACAGTAGTTACTACTATAGAGTCGGTAGATACTACTATGGAGACGGTAGTTACTACTGTAGAGTCGGTAGATACTACTATAGAGACAGTAGTTACGACTATAGAGTCGGTACATACTACTGTAGTGCCGGTAGATGCTCCTGTAAAGTCGGGAGATACTACTGTAGAGTCGGGAGATACTACTGTAGAGTCGGGAGATACTACTGTAGAGTCGGGAGATACTACTATCGAATTGATAGATACTACAAGAGTTAATAGATACGACTATAGTCAGTCGATACTACTGTAAAGCCAGATACTGCTATAGAGTCACTAGATACTACTCACTCTATTGTATGTAGGGTGTGTAGGAATATATCCCTACGGGGGGTACAAATATTTATTAATGGGGGAAGCCAACAATTTTCGGAAACCTTTTAGATCAACTATTTACCCCCCACTTTCTATTACTTTTTGCTTCGGGACACTCTGCAAGCCTCTTATAATTTTGTAGATGGACAAATGGAACGCCTGGCTTTCACAATAGCTTCAAATTTGTGTATGTATACGTTATGTTTTTAAGAGAAGACAAGTTTAGAAATATATTTTTCCCCTCGGCAACCCTGGGTACTTCCCGCTACTAAGGCATTATAATCAGACGGGAGTTTCAGCTAGGATTAAGAACCTCTAAACACACACACACACCCTTGCTAGTCATGATGATGATGATGGCCATCATCATCAGTCACGCTCAATCCTCCGCCGCTGCCACCTTCAATCGCTCTGCGATGATGTAACGATCCATCCAGCCGCCCAGCACCCGCACACCAACCGATTCCATCGCTTCATCCCCTTCCCGACGGGACAGCGCCCTCGGAAGCATTCCTTTCATCACTCGTACGAACATCCTGTCACGCGAGTCGCATCCCTCTGCACCTTCCCGTGTCCGCGATGGTCACCTCTTCCACGACGTCAGCCCAGCGTAGGCCAAAGACACCCAGGGGCGGCTTTAGGGCTCCCTTTAGCGGAAGGCCCTTCTGCCAGTGGAGGCCCTTCTGCCCGTGAAGGCACGACCAAGGAATTCGCATGGCTGGCGCATTTACCTGTTCCCTTTTACGGCAGCAGTCATTACATCTCCAACTGGGCACTGCGACTGGACCGCTGGTGGTGCTTATAACGAAGTCCTTGTGTGCACGGTGAACAATGGCGTCTGTGTCGCTGGCTGCCAGCTCGCCGTGCGAGCACGGTCCTGGGACAACGGATGAGCTGCCCCCGCTCGCTGTCCCACAACAGCTCGCCAGGAATCCCGCGTGTGAAAATGTTTCAATGCGCTTTTTTTAAATATAGTTGGCCCACATTCTGATAGAAGTTACGCAAGAAGGCCGTCACATTGTACGATGAACAGCGGCGCATTACAAACTGTAAAGTAAGCATTTTCGGCAACTTTGTTAATCTCTACTGCTGGATAAAGACCTCCCTCCGCACGCCGCGTCAGACGTGGAAATTGTTGAAATATACTTCACTACGCTGGTCAGTGATGGGAGAGGTAAGACCAGTTCAAATATTACACTCGCCACCGACATTAGACGTAATCAAGAATCTAACCCAGGTCGCCAGGTTCATAGTGCAGTATGCGAACCACTGCACCATTCTTCCATCCTCCTGTTCGTATTAACATCAAAGTAAAAGGATTCACGTCCGTGTTTTGCAGATTATATAATAATAATGGTAATGTATGCCGTACACAATACGACTGCATAGTCAGGTCCAGCTAACGTCATGCCAGGTGAACATGAGCCTGTGCCCGAGTGGCTTTTAGCAAAGTATTAAAGCTTTCGTGACTGCATAAAATGACTCATTGTTTTTTTTGGTAAAGTCACGTATGTAGAAATACAATAAAATTATATTAAAACAAAAAACAATCACGACGTTTCGATCACAACGCAAGCGATCTTCATCAGGTGTCAAGAACAAATCACGGAGGTAAATACAACAAAAAGATAAGACGAGAATTCAACAAACCTGAAAAAACATTATGTGAAGCACATCCAGTCAGGCCAACAACACAGTTAGACACTTCCTGGCGGACCACGAATTTCAGAAGTGTTAAATTTCGTGTTCAACCTTTGGATTGCACATACCGTTTTGTATTTACAAGAGGCGGTCCATTTTTGAGCTGCCGTTTTGTATGTGTAAGATGTGCGTGTTTGAGCTGCCGCTCTCGCTCTGGCCCCTCCCCCCCTCCAACCGTATTTCCTATTTAAGCTTATATTCATCCCTCGCCCCCCCCCCTCTCTCTCTGCTTCCCTGTCTGTCTTTCCTCCCTCCTTACCTCTTGGTGGACTTGTATATGTATTTCTACTGACCGTGTACCTCGTATTTTTCATTCTACCTATGCTGGTATGTGCAATCCAAAGGTTGAACACGAACTTTAACACTCTTCTGAAATTCGTGGTCCGCCAGAAAGTGTCTAACTGTGTTGTTGGCCTGACTGGATGTGGTTCACATAATGTTTTTTCAGGTTTGTTGAATTCTCGTCTCTCATCTTTTTGTTCTATTTACCTCCGTGATTTGTTCTTGACACCTGATGAAGAACGCTTGCGTTGTGATCGAAACGTCGTGATTGTTTTTTTGTTTTAATATAATTTTATTGTATTTCTACATACGTGACTTTACCAAAAAAAAACAATGAGTGGCTTTTAGCAGTTCGGCGAGCTGTTCCGCAAGACGTCGACATTCCGCTCAACCCTACTGTATACCATACTGCTGTATAGTCACTATACAATTACGATACTATATATTGCCTTATGAATTATGTTAAACATTACACTGTTATACTATTTATTATTATACATGCTATAAACCATACCATTGACCGTCGTGTGAAAGGTATTAAGAGGCAGTGCCAGCGATTGGACTGCGGTCTGAAAGTCACCGTAAAATACAATCAATCAACAACCGAAATGGTTTATTGCAGTTCTTTAGCGGCAATATACTAAATGCCTCTGTTAATATGTAAACTCTGACTTTAACAAGTTATTTCCGTGACCAGTTACATGCTAATCCCTCACATTAACATCATGCTAATCCCCCAGTTACATGCCAATTTCTGACTTTAACACCCTGCTAATCCAACGCTTTAACACAGCTATTTAAATGCTAAATTCTCGTGTTTGATATGTAAACTCCTTTGTCTAGGTGCTTTACTTCTCCCACCCAGCTTAAACGACGCTGCCAAGCTCAGCAGCGTTCATTGAAGCGCTGTCGTCCCGACAGTTCTGTTCCTTCACCTGAAGAAGGCCACTTGTGTTGTGGCCGAAACGTCGTGAGAATTTCAATCATTACGTTTCATTTTTTATATTTTATTTCCATTCTACGTGACTTTACCGAAAGAACCAAGAAGATGCCTGTGCACTTTTCGTCACTTTCGTAAACAAAACAGGACAACGTTCGCGACCACGTCCCCCGTGAAGCACGCGTCACCACGGAGCGGCCCGTGGGGAGGGGGGACGACTCACCGCGCCCGATCTGCACGAAGCCCAGCACGATGATGACCCCGAGCGCCAGCAGCTTGGCCGCAGCAAAGAAATCTTGGACTCGCGTGGCCGCCTTCACGCTGTAGCTGTTCACGATCGTCAGCGTCACTGCAGCCGCAAGCACGGAGCGGACAAGGGACGGGGGAGGGGGGGGGGGGACAACCGCTCGCGCCGTGAACGCCGATCGGCACGCAGACCCCGCTCGGCCCCCCGCCGCCAGCGACACTCGCAACGGCACTTTGCAGGTCTCCGACGCCCTCTCGGATCGCGCCGCGTGTTGTTCTGCACGATGTCCCGACGTTTCGCTGCACCTGCCGTTCTGTTCTCGGACGTCCTCGAGCAGAACCTCACGGCCAGATGCCCCCCCCCCCCTACTCAGAGCATCCAATTGTCCACAAATCCACAGACAACCATGTCCTGAAATCACACGAGCAGCACGTGAACCGCGAGGCTCTCCGCGAGAAACGTGTCAAACGCAATAATCCGTTGAGCTCATCAACACAACGCAGGCTAGTACCATACAAACACACTGCGTTCACTTATGTGCAAACTATCCGTTAAAACCAGGACTTATTTAGCCGTACCTGGCACACCAACATTCAATTTGGCCCCTCGCCATCGTCCGTGGCTGGTAGTCACGTAGCGCATGCTCCAGTGTTCCCAGCGGCCCGGGAGATATTTAAGAAGCTAATCCCGCCTGCACAACAATTATCGTGGCTGGCACGCTCGCCGTCGCTGCAGTCTACGTGAAGACAAGACCACGGAGAGGATCTCGGGGCCATGGGCGATGCTCGGCCTCTGCATGACCGGCGTTCCACCGCACGAGGCACCAACGCCATCGTACCGCGTGACCCTCCCTTGCTTATTATTTCTATAATCCTCCAAGCTCCCCCGGGGCCCTTCTGATGGTCACAAAAATATAAAGACCCCCCCCCATCCCCCCGTATAACCTTTACCGGACTGTTAGGGCCAAGTGCCGTTAGCGAGCAACCCGTGAAGGCCGGCGCGGCACACGAGGGGTGGTGGGTGATCAACACCACGCCCGACCGTCTTTGTCTCCCTAGTGGCGATGTTTACACATCGCACCGGGACTCATTTGAGGCCGAGTCGACCTAGGGGAAGCCCAGGACTAGCTCAGATAGTCACTGATGTTGGTCGTGAGGGGGAATCAAAATCAGAATATTTATTTATACTGAAGGAAATCCGATGAGCTATAAAGCTCTTTTCACAGATGTCCAGTAGAATCGTGTCACTAGGTTCGTAGTGCAGCGTGCTAAATCACTACACTTTCGCCACACTACACGCACTCATATGCATGCACGCACTCATACGCACGCTATCTGCATGATGACATGACCGACACACTCACTGGCGGGATGATTATTTCGTTGCGATCACACCCGATAGTAAAACAAACAAAAAATCAAAGCACACTTTCGCTGGGTGGAACAGATAGCAACTACCTAACGACCGATTGCACGGTGTGATAATGATGCAACAAGGGTGGCACAGTCAGCAGCCCTTCAGGGTCGGGCATCACATCCCTTCAACTGCGCCAAAACGGCATCTGCGAATCTAGGGCTCGAGTGAGAATTCGGGGCGGTCGTAAGACAAGGCTGCCAAGTTTCAAAATTATGTTTTAACGTTCGGTGTCGAGCGGCAATTAGTGCCCGTGGGAACACGGCGACGGTAATTAAACGGGGCTGACGAGGCGCCAACATTGACAAATAAATGACAGGTTTCGCTTTGCCATCAGGGCATCTCGCAGGGCCATTCAGAGACCCTGCGTTCTATTCCAAGTGTTGCAGAGAGCCACCGGGCACTTGGATTCATATGATCCTTCCGTGCTGACAGCAAGGATGTGTATCCCCTTACATGGCCAGACGTCACACCACCGTGCTGTTAAAATAGCCTAAAAAAAAAGACCCTCAGAACATTATTGGACATCACTTTAACCACCGAAATAGCTTTGTGGTTCATAATTATTCTAATTTCATTGCGAAGCTATTCTCAATTGAATTTTTGATTAGGCCAACTCATGGCAGAGCCGATTTCAATTGTAATTCAAAAATAAATTATGAATGATATTATTTTATCTGCGAAAGCCTACATTGTCAGGCTATACCTTTTGCTTTGGTAATTTGAGACCTCAGCAGCAGGGCCGTGACATGGCCCAGCAGCAATTGTTAAACAATTGCTTTAAAGGTGGCGAGAGAACGGTGACGTTATCAAACTCGGATTCTTCTTGCCATCGGAAATTACTAAAGTGCCACTCAAGCGCGAACGAAACCTCTCGTGACGTCCTTCACTCGGCCAGCTGCGGCCGTCGAGGGCGGAGGTTACAGACGTTGGAATGCTGCTCAAAAACAGGAAAGTGAAAAAAAAAATCCAACCAACAAGGAACACAACAGATTTCTACGGGATTCACACGAGACACTGCGGGTCCTGTTGTCAGGGCGCAAATAGCACAAACGAAACGCGTCCGTCGATGCGGCCAACCCAAAGCGGAGGCTTTAATTGGACTTGTCGGTCAGGCCAGCTGCAAAAGAAGCCGAGGCTGCCCCGCGATGTCACTTGAACAGCAAGAGACCGACTGGTGTGGAGACGTGCAGCTCGGCGAGCTAGTGTCATCACCCTCCAGGGGCAGGGTGACACTGATAATCGCGCGGTGGCTGGGTGTGTGGCCATGAGATCTCAAGATCTACAAATTCCAGATAAGTGCAGCACTGTACTGTGTTAAACGGCCCAAAGCAGCGTATCAATATCGCGCGCACATTTACTTGAACTCGACAGTGTTCGGGTGCCGCTGCTGCTGCTGTTGTTGCGAATCGGCCTGCACACTGGGCTTGTAAACCAGCAGTCGCCAGGTCTATTGATGTCCCAGCTCTGCAGGTGAAACAATGCGGAAACGTTTCTCGAATAGTCCCCCCTCCGCCCGCCCCCACCGCCTCTGTCCACCACCACCCAGCAGCATCAATTGCAACACCGCCGTTCGGCAATCTTAAGGTCACGTGAGGTGGGTTAAAGTGTGGTTTACTTCCACATCTTCCAACACGTCAGGCCAGTGGGAAAAAAAATCGGCGAAACACCCTCCAGAGTGGCTCTCTTGAGGTCCCCCCAGCGGAGGCCCCCTTCTGCCAGCAATTGCGCGTGAGCAAGCGATTGCAGGGCTGTGCCTTTACCATTTTTTTTGCTTACATCTACCATACTTTTCGGTTCATCCGCTCTCCGCTCCCTTCGTGCACCAGGAGCTGTTTATGGCCGTACGGGATATATATCTGGATCCAGTCCACGAGAAAATTTGTCTCGAAGCCCCGAGGGGGAAGGGGTCTTCCTTTTTTGTTGTTGGCTCAAGCGACACACTCCAGGAACAACGTTAAGCAATTCCGTGAACACCTACAGGGTCACTGCTGCTGGCGTGTGGACTGCAAAGACCACGTGGCATCGGTCACACAGCGGCAATCTTTTACCCGTGCCATGTCCGAATGCTTTTCATAAAAATGGAATGGAGCCGTGCATAAGCGTGGGTTACGGAAAGCTTTCAAACACGCGTTTGCACTCGGTAATACTTGATCTCGCGATAATGATAACCAAGTACTTTTGAGGTCAAACGGAAGTTTGGGATGCAACGTTTGCGATGTACAGCAGGGGATGAGCTGGGATATGAAGATAACGGGTACAGGTACAACCCTGACGTTTCTTGCTCGTGCCACTGCTGCTAGAAGGGAGCTCTAGGGTATATATCACCGACCCTTCTACGCTGGCCAGACGACTTGAAAAAGAGGTGGGACTACCCACACTTTACCCCACCTCCTGCGATTTGCCAGACGACTGCGGCGGACCCATTTCCCCCCCCCCCAACTACACTTTTGGGTGGGGGCTGAATTTCGAAACTTGCGCCGTCGTTCCAACATTCGCGCAGGGAGATTGAAACTGGCGGCCTCTGAGCAAACACGGGGGGAAGAGGGGGGAAGAGGGGGTGAGAGGGGGCGAGGACTCACTGACGCAGAGGCAGGCCACGAGCTTGGCGGCCACGGTGGGCACCGTGGTGCACGCAAACAGCGGCTTGATGATGTAGGTGGCGAAGACGAGCGCCACGATGTACTGCGACGAGGGCCGGATGATGAGCAGCTCGATCCAGAGCTTGAGGAAGGCGACGAGCGGGCCGTACACCTCCAGGATGTAGGCATAGTCACCGCCCGACTTGCTGATGGTGGTGCCCAGCTCGGCGTAGCAGAGCGCGCCCACCGTAGAGAAGAGGCCGCACACGGCCCACACGATGAGCGAGAGGCCCACCGAGCCCGCCTCCTTCACCACGCCCGTGGGCGTTACGAAGATTCCCGAGCCGATAATGGTGCCCACGATGATGGCGACGCCGTTGGTGAGCGTGATGGTGCGCTTGAGCTCCACCGTGGGATCGCCGCCCGACCCGCACACCGCCGCCGCCCCGCCGTCGTCCTCGTGCGGCAGCATCGTCTTGCCGGCGTGGGGGTCGTCGCACGGTGACGACGAGGAGGAGCCCCTCTTCTTCACGTCCGTCATGGCGCCGAGGAGGAGGAGGAGGAGCGCCGCTCGTTTAGGATCTGCGTGGGAGCGACAGGAATGCGGTTAAGATTTGAAAATAATCGATCGACCGCTCAACTTTATTGTTGCATCGCAGGATCGCGATGGCTGGTGGCGGCGGCTTGTGGAGGCCTTCATCCAGCAGTGAATTGATGATGGCTGACGATGAGTAACAAGGTAGGAGCCCTTGGTTACTGTCATGGTGCAATTGTTAGGACGCGAGGCAATGCAGAGGTCGCTGGATCGACCTCCCGTCGCGGCAGTTTAAATTCCCCCCACCCCCCACCCTCCCCCCCATCCTCCCCCCCACCCCCACCATACCCAGCAGGATAAATGGGTGCACCACAGTTGGTCAATAGGCAGATCGCTTTGCAGTGGGGGGGGGGGGGGACGGACTACCTGGGGGTTTTCGGGCCCTGTCAAGTTCAACGATAGCTTCAGTCACATTTTTCGCAAAAAATATTCCCTTCGACCTGGGAACTCGCAAAGGTCAACCTCAGGTGAAAATGTTACGAATGGGCTCAACTCAAAAGCCACCGCTGTGCGTAGTACCCCGTTTCCACTCGTCGCGAAGGAGGGGATTTCAATAAAACCCGAATTAACCTTTAATTTTCAACGAATCTCGAAAAGCCCAAATCTTCAAGGCACGCGACCTTACCCACGTGCTGGCATTAAATGGCGCTGTCGGTTGCATTTTTAACGCTTGCAATTCTTAACGCTTGCAATAACAAGACTCCGTGCGCTCTACTGGCAGCTGGCATCAGCTGCAGGGGGTTTTGTCAACTCCAGAGGCCATCCGTTGAGACTGCCGCCTGCGTCCTTTCAATGCCGATGATGCTGCTGCTACCGCTGCTGCATCTGAGAACGTAGTAGCAACTCCGCGAGGTCACGGGACAGACCCAAGTGCCATGAGTTGAGTGAAGCCGACAAACACACGTGGTTGGTTTTACTGCGTGCACCACTACGGACGGGAGAGCCAAGAGGAAAGAAGTTCCATCAGTGGAAAAAATATAAACCTTCACACACGTGAATGGCTGTGTGCAAGACGAGATTCAAAAGGCAAATCATGCACGCGTTCCGGATACTAAAACAGGTTTCTAAAGATGTACAGTCTTCATTCGAGTAAGGCACTTTATTACAATGAATCATCATCAGTCATGATCAATCCACCGCTGGATGAAGGCCTCAAAGTTGTTGCCATCTCTCACAATCCTGCGATAAAAAAAAGTTCCAACCAGCACCTGCTGCACAAGAGCAGATTTCATGACTCCATCTCTTTCGGTGGACATCCTCTCAGAAGCATTCCCCTGCTTGGCTGCCACTCTTCATGACAGTCAACCATAATGTAATGAAATACTATAACACGTATAAAATGGCAGCGTTAATAGCGGTTATCCTAACTATGGACTGTACCCCACCATAGGAATGTGGAATTTCTACCACTTCTCAGGACTGCCAATGGAAATACGCACCATAGAGCAGAGACAAATTTGACTTTGTTATGCATGCGCCACCAAACATTATGAAAAACTCACGAGATAAGCTTCACGATAGCCAACCCTCCCAGACATTTAAAACTCCGCACCTCTAGGCCACGGAAGAGAAAGTTCAAGTATAGCTGGTGAGGGTGTGGAAAGGAAGGTGGCGAGTGGCCGATCTAACGGGAGGGGAATGATGCCACTTGGATCGTGAAAAGGCACGACTCGGTTTTGGCAAACAGCACGGAGCAGGCAGGCACGAAGCACCTCGTGGACACCGGGACTGGACTCGCTCCTCAGTGCACGCAATCTGGACGTTGTTCTTTGCTCAGCTGGCAACCACATATTCCCTAGGATCACTTGTGCGATGTTGGGTAAATGTCAGCGTTTTTAGTTTAGAGTGAAATGAGACCCAGGCTGGGATGAGAATAAAAGTAATGTCAAATAATAACTATCACACCATGGGGACTTGATATTTGCTTTACAATATACCGGGATAATAGAAACAATAGCATATGTTACTCGTGCTATTTTTTTAAATCCCTGAATTAGAGTTAGATATTGACTCGGATCATCATCCCTTTGGGGCGGATACAATAAGTACCCTTTTATGGGTAGTCATGATTCCTTGTCCGAATTGATCAGAATGTGGCAGTTTCTACCACCTACCCAGCACTGCTTCACAATTACAGTAATTAAAAGAGGAAAAGCGTTCGAGTCCATTTATACGGTAACAGCTCGATTAAAAATCAACATTAAAATCAGCATTGAGCCTACCACAATTGAGATCTTAGGGTTGGAGAACAGATTTGGACTACACCTTGAGAAAACATTGCAATTCCCAATTACCCAGATGTAGGGCCCCCACAATCAGCATTGTTCAACGGTCACCTTTGTGACCTATTGTTGTCCACGCCGATACATTGCCGTGTACTGTATTTAAGCCAGTTTTGAATACTCAATTCTTTAAAACTGCCCTTTAGCCCACAGTTCTGGACGTATACTCAGGTTTATTTCCATACACGGCGCATTCGGATCTACGGATGACATGCACCTTACCAAAGGTGATTGTTCGAACATGGGAAATGATTGCACACTGATATGTAACTAACAACTGCTGCGTGAAACATCAACCCAAGAACAACACTTCCCCGTGTCAAGCCATTCGCAGTCCAGCGGCGATGAATGAACGCTCAATGTAAGATTCCAATCGAGTTGTTTGCAATTAATTCCACCACCCCGCCCCCACCACCCAAATATCTGCTCTGACTAAGTGTTATTGCACGAAACGTCACCTTCACGAATAGAAATCGTTTCGTTCTGAAGTTGCTCACACACACACGTCCGTATACTACATACTGTACATACACGTGGTCACAATGGACAATGCTGACAGCGCTGTGGCTGCCGCCACGTGGAAGCAAGATGTGACGATACAATTCATACATCTTGCATCATCTCACCAACAATCTTCACCACCTCCCCGCCCAGATTAAATAGCCACGTGGATTCGCCCAAGACGCTGTGCAAATGACCGCGCCTGCGTGATGAAGACGCCCCGGGGGTCACTACCCCCACGTGTCGCGCTCGCTGTGGCTTCGGAAGGCCCAAGTGGTCATCATCATCACCACTGGATGGACTAAACACAAGGCACACACACACAGAACTTCCGCACACACACAGAACTTCACCACACACACACACAGAACTTCACCACGCACACACACACAGAACTTCACCACACACACACACACAGAACTTCACCACACACACACACACACAGAACTTCACCACACACACACACACACAGAACTTCACCACACACACACACACACAGAACTTCACCACACACACACACACACAGAACTTCACCACACACACACACACAGAACTTCACCACACACACACACACACAGAACTTCACCACACACACACACACACAGAACTTCACCACACACACACACACAGAACTTCACCACACACACACACACACAGAACTTCACCACACACACACACACACAGAACTTCACCACACACACACACACACAGAACTTCACCACACACACACACACAGAACTTCACCACACACACACAGAACTTCACCACACACACACACACAGAACTTCACCACACACACACAGAACTTCACCACACACACACAGAACTTCACCACACACACACAGAACTTCACCACACACACACACAGAACTTCACCACACACACACACAACTTCACCAGGCATCCACACACAAACCCATTATCCCCAGCGTTTGTCAACCACGTCGACACATCAAACTATGTTCGGGGAGCATGAGAGCCTGTATGTACACACACACACGTTGATTTAATCCCACTGTTTGCGCTATTAGATAAATATCTCCGAGGGCTGTATACACACACACACTCGCACCACTCTAGAAGCCACTTGACTCGGGCTGGTTCGGGTGGCCTGTAGTTCTTACGACTATAATCGGCTCGTAAATTATCCATGACAGATTCATTCAAGTGAACGCCATGCAGAGAGCAGCACTGCGATGCATTTCATTTCATTTGTGCACACTTCTTTAAACCCCCGGCGAAAGCTTCGCTCAAGTCTTAGGAGCCGGTCTCCTGCGTGTCAAGCCATTCGCAGGCCAGCGGCGATGAATGAACGCTCAATGTAAGATTCCAATCGAGTTGTTTGCAATTATTTCCACCACCCCACCCACCCACCACCACCCACCACCCACATATCTGCTCTGAATAAGTGTTATTGCACGAAACGTCACCTTCACGAATAGAAATCGTTTCGTTCTGAAGTTGCTCACACACACACACACGTGCGTATACTACATACTGTACATACACGTGGTCACAATGGGCAATGCTGACACAGTGCTGTGGCTGCCGCCACGTGGAAGCAAGATGTGACGATACAATTCATACATCTTGCATCATCTCACCAACATCAGCTCCAACAATCTTCACCATTTCTCTCCCCCCCTCCACTCCACCCGATTAAATAGCCACGTGGATTCGCCCAAGACGCTGTGCAAATGACCGCGCCTGCGTGATGAAGACGCCCCGGGGGTCACTACCCCCACGTGTCGCGCTCGCTGTGGCTTCGGAAGGCCCAAGTGGTCATCATCATCACCACTGGATGGACTAAACACAAGGCGCACACACACACAGACAGACACCACCACCCCCCCCCCTTGTTCACACCAACAGCACGAACAGACTGTTGGGGCAAGTGCTGTTTGCGAGCACCGAATGAAGGCCGTAGTAGCCAGCACCAACAGCCCAGGCCGCGATCGTCTTCCCCACACACCACGTTGCCGGTCTCCACCCAACTACAACACCACCACCACAACCAAGACACACGCACTTGGTGTGTTAACACACGGAATATTATGACCGATGCAACGCGCCGATAGTTTCCGATCCGATGACACCACCACAACCACCAGCATCATCATCATAATCATCAGCAGCAAACCAGCAGCGGACAACGACTCACCACGAGATGAATGGATGCGCCCAGCAGTTGTGGAGTTGATCGCTCTCCGACGGCGGTGGTGGTGGTGATGATGATGGTGAAGGGAGGGTTCCCTTCCACCCCAGCTTTATATCGACTCTCTCCCGCTCACGTCCCTCTAGCCGTGGAGAGCGGGGAGGGGAGAGGTAGGCGGGGTGGTGGTGGGGGAGCTGCTTTCCTGCTTGCCCTGAGCCTATTAACTATTTGGCCACACGAAACGGGTGTGTGCGCTCCTTGGCACACACACACACAAAGAAAGATCCCCCTGCCCTTGTCTGTCGCCTCTATCAGCAGCAGAACGTTTCGAGTTGGCGACCAGGAGCGGTTTTAGAGATAATCGTCGCTGACGTTGGCCGTGAGCGGGAGTCGAACACGTGCAGGGGGGGGATCTGCGGCGTCGTGAGAGATGGGGGTGGGGGGTACGTTGTGTGTTGTGGGCAGCGTTGAACCTCCCCCCTGCGTGTGGGTGTGTGCGAGCTGCCCCTAGTGGACAAAAATGATAAACAAACCCTTAATTACACTCGGCTAAAGAGGGCACAAGTCCGTGCGGCGTATTTCATGTTGTGTGCAACGCAGAAAAAATATGCCATTTGCCCAATACGTCGCGTTGGGATGAATATGCACGTGTTGAGATTGTTGGTGGACCGCACACCAGATTCAGAATTTTTATTTATGCCGGGGGAATCCGATGAGCTATGAAGCTCTCTTTTTTTCTCAGATGAGTTGTGGGGGATAGGGATAGAATCTAGCAAGACCGTAGCCATGCAGTCAACGTTGGGGGGGACCAAATCTTTCAGGGTGTCTGGGGGTCCCAACCCAGAAAAATATCTACATTTGAAAACGAATTTCCTGCCTAAAATATAAAAAAAATCACTAACACGTGGGATGGACTTTTTATTGATTTTTTTTTACAATAATGTCTAATAGTGTATTGTATTACATTGCTATGTTTTTACTTTTTTACCATTTCTTGTTTCATTGTATGTAATGGCCGAGGTTAGGGATTAATAAAGTACAACCATAACCACAATCATATAAACAGAAAGGTTTATCAAATTGTTGTTTTTATTTACATAGCATAGCAAAACATTTTTTACAGCAATACATTGAGGTGGGGGGGGGAGCATTTTGAGCATATTTGGGGGATGTGTAAATATAATATATATTAGGGGGGATGTGTCCCCCCCAATATATATTAGAATTACGGCCTTGGAATCTAGTACGGCACATGCAGCCGCCTACAGTATGCTGTATACTGCCAATGCCATCACTATTATTATCACGCTAGTTTACCCAGGAAAGTCTCTCTGAGTCTCAAGATGTGTTGTCAGGAGGGTCCTGCCAAGTTTTCGAAGTAGGAGAGCGATGCTGCTGCTGCTGTTGCTGTGTACAATACAACTTGAGTTCATTTGTATGCCACTTTTCAGCACTGTGTTGTTTTCACCGATTGTATCCTGTAGATATATTGTGTGCTTTTTTTATTTTAATCCTGGGAGGAAACCGGAAAACTCACAGAAAACCACCAGAGATGAAGGATAGAACAGAGTTCACACAGAAAGTCACCCGAGTTGGGAATCGAACCCTGGCTCCCCTTGCTGTGATGCACAAATGTTACCACTAAGCGCACAATATTAGACAGCTGGTTCATCATCATACACGGAAGTTTTGTAAAATGTCTCTTATGGGAATGGTTAATTCTGTTAGACACAAATTTAAACAACTATACACGCAGTGCTCTTTGCGAATGCAAAGTCTTAATTACGATTCTGCAAATAGGTACAACGTGCCTCGTATACAAACAGCAGGGGTGACAGTGGAGAGACTGATCCCGGCCATAGGAATGTGGAATTTACACAACTAAGGGCTGCCGACAAATATTACCCCTCCCCACTACTTAAATCTTAAATGATCGTTGGGGTAGATACTTTTTAACTTTCATTTTGTATATTCAGTACTGTCAGAGTGTCTACTATCTTGTTTTGTAGAGCGGTGGCGCAGTAGTTAGCGCACTGCACAACGAGTCTGGCGAGATGGGTTTTAATATCAAGACCCATGGTCAACAATCAGCACTGACCAGCATGGTGAAGTATGGTCAAACTACCCTCATGACCAACATAGGGAAGGAGGGAGGGGTGTTCCCGAAGCCTTTTAAACAGAGGCCCTGCATTAGTGCAATTATACTGTCAATAATATGGGGAGATGGGGGTTTGGTTCCCGTGTCAGATTGAACGTACGGGAGGAGAAAAATTAAAGCGTTTCATAACATCAATCATGTACTGTACAAGGAAAATAACATCCGTGTACAGCATTGCTTTATTAAATTGTACAACAATACAAAAAAAACATAACACAAAATAGAAATACATAAAATAAAACGTCAATAAAGTACGCTGTACATTTGGAAGTCGCATTTAGCTCAACGCAAAAACGTCAGGGTGACGGCGAAGATGCGTGCGGGGGAGCGGTGGCGCAGTGGTTAGCGTGCCCGCGCGCTACGTTACCGGCCACTCGGAGGTTCGATCCTCGCTCACGATGATCCGAACCGGTTCTGGATCTCCCCTAGATCGACCCCCGTGCCCCCCTCCCCCCTCGGCCACATCTTCCCCGCCACCCTTGTTGAATCCTCCACCGGGGAAAGGTCCTTCATCCAGCAGTGGGTTGACAAATGGGAAAGACGATGCGTGGGGAATGACCGAAAAATGACCCCAAAGACCTATGCAGCCTAGCGGCCACTTAGACATGAACGAAAGGTTCTCCGACTGGAAGAAAGAGGCCTCCACGGCGATTGGTTCGGAAGGGCAGACTTTTAAAGGGATTTGAGAATAAGGGGGTTGAACGGGAACACAAAAAGGATACGTTCAAGGGAAAGGACGGGGATTGGCTAGAGGTAAAACACAACGAGAAGAAGTTTCGACAAAGGGGGCCTGAGGGTGAGAAATAAGGAGAGAGCACTTGGAGTGGAGAGGCTCGGAGGAAGATACAAGGAGGAAGACAAGAACGAAGCCGAGGGTCCCTCATTATGGAATGTCGTCAGTAGTTTTTATTTATTTTGTAAACGTTTAATAAAACAAAAAATTGTCTCTTCTCATTTCTTTGTCGTCCGAGTCGTTACACACGCGCGTCTATTGACGACTTCCTATGAGATCCGGTCTGCAATTACGATTCTCTGGAGCAAGGAATGGGGGTGGGAGGATGGGGCTTTGCACTACCGTGCCAGGTTCATGACTGCAATGCTGTGCGCGTGTTGCAGTGCCGGATTATCCCAGCAGCACAAGTAGCTACATGTGCTAGGGGCCCCGCACTTTCAAGGGCCCCGCGCTCAATGATTTCAAGCTATCAATTCCGGTTCGGTGATTCTGCACTTGCTCTATTACTATAGTACTATACTACATGTGCTAGGGGCCCCGCACTTTCAAGGGCCCCGCGCTAAACGATTTCAAGCTATCAATTCCGGTTCAGTGATTCTGCACTTGCTCTATTACTATAGTACTATACCGCCTTCAACTTTTACGAACGATTGGGTGTTTAAGGTTAGCGATTTGTCGTATTATCTGGCCGTATAGCAAATTAAAAAAACACAATTACTTTACTATGCAAGTAAAGAAATTACGTTTAATACATATGTTTTTTTTATTTATGGGCACTTTATAACATATGCTGCAGGCTCCGCACTATCTTAATCCGGCACTGGTGTGTTGGCACTGTCAGTGACCCGGGGTTAGGTTTGTTCCCATTACGTCCCTTGACGCGTTGACGTCTAAAACCACGCCGAGTTGACTTTTCCCCTCGAAAAATACCCAACGTGCTTCAACGAGCTGATAAGGGGGGCCCGAACACATGGTAGAAAAACTCAAGTCACCTTACCCACACCGCTTGATATCGGGCGTGGGAATTGAGATGTTCTTCCACCTGGTTAGTTCTATTCATTAAACACGACAATCTGTGTTCTTGGGAAGGGCGTGGTACAAGGTTTAGCGCACCCGGGTTCGAGTCTCAACCGAAGCCGACATCAGTGGCGTGGGTGATGTCTAAGCCGGTCCCGTCTACCCAACCCATACTGACCGGTGCTGAGAATTATGGCCAAACAACCAATGCGGCATGGGAAGACAACTCACCCAGCAGCGGATTGGCAAAGGACTGTTGAGTCAGTCGCTTTAGCTTTCCTGGCTGAAAAGCCCATTGCATCGCCACACGTAGAAAGAGGAGCCCGTGAAGCAGAGAGCATGCACGGGTGGGGAACCTATTTTTCTGACAAGGGCCATTTGGATATCTATAACATCATTCGCGGGCCATACAAAATTATCAACTTAAGCCTGTTATATTTGGTCAAACATTTAATGAACTCGCCCCTAATGCGATGGCTGGAACTGCTTCTCTTTGGCGAGGCGTGTGATGACGTTAGCTGGTATTGACGATGTTGCTGCTACTCGCAACTGCTTTTCCAGGTTTGCTCCCTAGATTTAATTAATTTCGAGTCCCGCCTGCGGTTGCCTTGGCAGGGCCAAACCAAATGATTTCGTGGGCCTCACACGGCCCGCGGGCCGGACGTTCCCCACCCCTGCGTTGAATCATCAGCCATATCAAGACACTGCTATATGAAGGTCTCACCAAGGCGTCGTGATCTGACACGGTCTGAGTGATTTAATGCTTTTAAGAGGGAATGTTTATTGCTCTGCTTGGGTAATAACACGTCCATCTATCCGTCTGTCAGAAATGTAAATATACTGTGCCTTCCAGCGTGGAAAAGTGTTGTTGATATTTTTTAAACAAATACAAAGTCCTGCAGTAAAACCATTTAGCACACGCATTACCAATGTCATTGTGCAGAGGATCATATATTTTTTCTGAAAGATTAATGAAATACCTTTCAAGTTGTATATATACTCCTTGGTTATTTCGGTAAAGTCACGTGGGTAGAAAAATAATAGATCACGACGTTTCGATAGCAACACAAGCAATCGTCATCAGGTGAAACAATACAGAAGGCGGACTGCTGAGGCAAGAGGCATTTTCTCTTGCCCCAGCAGACTGCCTGCTGTATCGTTTCACCTGAGGACGATGTTGCTATCGAAACGTCGCGATCTATTATTTTTCTACCCACGTGACTTTACCGAAAGAACCAAGGAGTATGGTTTCCTGCAGTCACGAAAACTTCAAATCAAGTTCTATATATATTTGTAAAGCATTAACCTGTGCAACATTGCGCGCGTTAGAATGTCTGCTCCTGGGTGTAAGCTATGCGCTCAACGTGTGCATGGGTCCGTGCACACGTGTTTTTAACAGTCAAATAAATATTCCAGTAGAATCTGGGCTCCCTTAATAGCCTGGCTCTGCCGCTTGCTGAAGTGCTGTGATTCGTAGTGTTAATTCACATGTCAATGGGATGCAACGTCACACAAAACATGAACTTAATTTTATTTATTTAAAGTGAACTTTTTTCGTGGCACAAATAATTATTGTTAACAAAAAAACCACACAAGTAAAACTGTATAACAATACAAGACACCAATTAACATTTAACAGCAGTAATAACAAAACATTAATAATTTAAGCGTTTGAATGTCATACTGAACAGTGTAATCATCTCTTTTTTTAACGCCAGAGCTTACACTTTTCGTGTCTGCCAGGACAGCAATTGTTAGAATTCAACTTTTATTCGATAGAGGTGATAACGTTTGTGGCAGAAGATGTGTTTGTATCACAAATGTGACTTCACTCGCTGGGTGATTTACAAATAGTATTGGTGATACAATCTGGACAAATGTGATGATGAAAATTTAAAAATGCCACATAAACGCAATTACATCAATCATATCTCTCTCCAATTAGCACCGCAAGGCAAGTGAGCACCATCTGCCAATAATAGCTTCCATCCGAAATGTAACCTCACAGTGTCAAACAGCTGAGTTTTTTTCCTCCACAATTTTTAGTCTAAATACACAACCTAAAAAGCAAACAGCTCTCGTAGCCTGTACCTGGTAGACCACATCTTTTAAAATCAGTCTCAGGCACTCTTGTTATAGGGTGCTCGTGACGTCACTGCATTTATATTAAAACATCGCAGTGAAATCAGTGACTTCACCGCAGTGCCAAAGTGATGGCCTGTAATTTAATATTATTCTGTATTAGTTTTTCATTAAGGAAGCTTCAAACTCACATCAGGCAGCCAGAAATATACACAAAGAGAGCATCACCGAGTATTTATTTCACACACAATGGAAAAAAACACGTGCATACGTGGGCACGCAAACTCCACACAGACCGGTTTGATACCTACTCTATGTGCTGCCCAATATAGGCAGCCCCTGATTGCCATGAATGTGTAATGGCCAGTCGATGTATTTCACTTCACACAATACTTCAACCCAGGCCGGCGTACAGGTAATTGTGGGAACCAAGAGCAAACATTTTACAAAGGGCCTAAGGAATGTTTCACCAGTGAAAACTCACAGAGGGGAGTCATCAGCGAAATTACTTTTTTTTACAAATTATTATTGAGTTGGAGGGTGTCAAGGAAGGACAAGCAAAAGTGACACACATAGGAGAGAACACTCGAGCAGAGCCAAGTGTGGGGTAAAGACGGCTGCCACTTGATTTTGTTCCAAGTCAAGTGTAAGCTCTTTGTGAGCATGAATGCATGAGTTTAATGAGAGAAACATCATTATCAGCAATTCTATTCACACTTCCAAAAGACAGGTTTTCCTGGGGGGGGCCTCATAGATTGGCTCCAGACAAAAGCAGTTAAATTTACTGTAATTTTTTTCCCTATCATTCAAGTAATAATACCTCCATGCTTATACGACTGTGGGACCGTATTAATCTCCATGATGAACTTGTGCCAGTAGTGGAAATTCCACATTTCTATGACGGAAGCTAGTTTTATGAACAGTGGTTCAGTCGACCACGCCAGATTTAACATTGAAAGCACCCGATTGCAAATTCAGTGATATAAAAACAGCACCACCTGGTGTAACATGGATGAAAGTTACTATACACATGTGAGTGAAAACGTGGCTGGAGTTTTGAAGACCAAAAGAAGCTTAAGTGATTCTGGTGTTATTTCTCAGTCAGCCTTGGTCTTTAAAAACTGTGAAATTTACCTCAATAAAGTTCACCGCAATACCGGTACTGGATCTCGGTACAAATCAATTCCAGTCATCCGAACAAAGATGCCAATTCCTGGGCTGTCCGGGTCAAATCTGAAGAGGTGGCCACCCTATTGGGGGCATGGATATCCATGGGTAGTTATTCCTGGCAGAAACAATGAATGTTACTGCATTTAACAACATCAACAGTCACTACTAACCACAAGCGCTAGGTTGTAAATATGTGTAAGCACTGTCACACATACAACATGATATGCAATTATGACAGTTAACATCAACAATTTTGTGAAGCAAAAAGACAAACACGAACATGAAATCACTCTCAATCACCGGTGCAAAATCACCAAATTTCATTGGCATAGCATAGTGTGCATCACATTACACGCAAACCTTTAACGTCAAATGAATAAAAGGAACAACTTGACTCAATTTCATTTGCAATTAAAACCATTTTTGATCACAATAAACAATGTCGCACGTAACAATCTACTTTTATTATTTTTCTCCTTCAATTTGATGTTTTACATTTCAAAATGCAAGGTATGCAATGAATGTGTTTGGCGTAAATATATAAGCATTAATAAATATTGATAATCAGCTCTCTTTGATTGTTGTGCAATTCAAGCATATTCATTTTTAATGATCACAAATACAATTAAGTTTAATGTGTTTCTTTTGAATATATTTGTATTAATCTGTGGGTCAGGTAACCTTGTTCTCTTGTGTGACCTTTGTTGGTCACGAACGGAAGTAGACCTCAGATAAACGAGTACACTTATCGACCTAGATTTAGAGATATAATAATACAGGGTGTTTTAAAGCAATGGGCCCGATTTGAAATCGCTATATCTCTGCAACCACGATCCGCCCATGAATGAAACTCTTACCACTTGAAAGGGCGGGGCATAGAGAGGGCGGGGCATAGAGAGGGCGGGGCACAGAGAGGGCGGGGCTTAGAGTTTCAAATGATTACCACTAGATGCCTCTCCCAGCGCACAAACAGCCCCTATCCTCAGTCATTCGCAAGATGACGACCCTGCAACACAAGGGGCGTTTTGTCTTCTGCAGTTCAGCAAGACTGAATCCGTTATTGCGGTGCAGCGTGCGTTTCAACGGCGTTTTGGCATTGATCCGCCAATGTCAAAGAGCATGGTGGCACAAAAGGACGTTTTTGTGTGCCACCATTAGCGACTAATCTGGATGACCTCAAAAACAGAATCACGGCAGCGGTGACTTCAGTGGAAGAAGACACTTTTAGAGGCGTTTGGGATGAATTCAACTATCGTCTCGATGTTGTCCGTACAGCAGGTGGAGGGCACATAGAGCATTTATAAAATGGTTAGTAAAACTCCATAGCTCATTAAACCGTTTGTAACTTTTTGTGTAATTGTAACATGTTGCCATCGTGAAATATACTGCTTTGAAATTGGGTCCCTCATTTTTTAACACCCTGTATATCATATTCTTGGTTCTTTCGGTAAAGTCACGTAGAAGGGAAACAATAAAATAATAATAAAAATATAAAAGAACCAAGAATATGAATCCCTGTAGTCACGAAAGCTTTAAAACGTTGTATATCATTCAGCAACATATCTAAATTAAAATTGTAACCTAGACCAATTTAATAAAACTCTTCACAATGGCTAACTTTCTAAACAAAAGCGGTGTCCTAACATGAACCCTGATCCATAATTTGTCCCGAATTATGAGCCTTATCTGGTAAAATAAAAAAAATATTTACATTATGAGACCTCCTTTGTTACTGGCAAAGGAGGTCTCATAATGTAAATGCTCGCCCCGAGCCCTCAATACTCTGATAGTGCGCTGTTTTTTGAGTTGTACGCCTTTTGGCGTCTTCTGGTCCAACACCAGTGGAGACTAGGCTCTAAGAAAAGCCGTCTCGGGTGTGGACCAATCAAATTCAAGGACAGTGCATATTATTATCAGAGTTGTCTCTTTTGTTTGCATTTTGACTGCTTGTGTTGTGGTTATTGCAAACATGATGCCTTGAATAAAGGTGTCAGTTTTGTGCCAGTTAAAAGGGTAAAACCTATTACAAAAAGAAAAAAATAGTTTAGTTTTTAGTTTACTTTAGAATAAAATCTCTGATATTTTTGAAACAGCCCAGTTGTTGTGCTGTAGCACCCAACACGTAATGAAGAGGAGCATCGCTTGGTTACCAATCTGTCGTTGAGCGTAACATGGCAATAACGGGTGTTGAACGGCAGACTCATCATTGGTGCTTGAATGCTGCAAAAATATTGGTGTCATCACCAATATTGGTGTCATCACCAATATTTTGATTTACTACACAAACCACCTTAGTACATTCAATATTTAATATTTTATGTTGAGGCAAATGTTGAAGGTACGTAAGGGGTGAGTGATGTCGATGTTATCGTACGGGTTAAACAGCAGGACTTTAGCAAAGTAACTAGAAAATAAATATTGGACTTAATTTATCGGTAAATGTGGAGAGGATGCTTAATATCTTCTGTTAGGATCGGATAAGTACCATCGAAGTTCAGAATAGGAGATGACAGCCAAGAACTGTGTGAAGAGTAATATTTGGGGTAAAAGTGCAGGAAAGAGCTCAGGTAACCAAATGGATGCACTGAGACCAGTGATCAAACAGAAGGCCCGGGCTACATGGTGAGGCGCTGTCACAGTGTCACAGGTCAGAGGTAGACGATGCAGAAGGAAAGAAGCAAAGGTGAAGTGTGGTGACATCATTTGCAACGGCGACGATGGCCTTTGGCTCTTGAGCGTTCTCACGGAGCTCATGCTTAGCTCCGCTGTGTGGGCGACGGCGAGTCACCATACGCCTCCTGGCCCAGAGTGTCCCACAGAATGCTCTGGAGGTGGGCATCCTCCCGGGTCTTGATCTTGAAGACTACATCCAGGTCGGTTTGGAGCTGTCTGCAATGGAAGGCAAGCCAGCCGTTACGCAAGGAGATTTGTCTATTGAGTTAAATATACATTTCGATTTAAAGCTTTTGTGACTGCAAGGATTCATCTTCTTTGGTTCTTTCGGTAAAGTCACGTAGAATGAGAATAAAATAATAAATTAATCAAATAACACAATAAAATTCTCACGACGTTTTGGACACAACAAGAAGGCCACTTGTGTTGTGGCCGAAACGTCGTGAGAATATTATTGTGTTATTTTATTTTATTAATGTATTATTTTATTCTCATTCTACGTGACTTTACCGAAAGAACCAAAGTAGAGTTAAATATACTTCATTCCGATTTTGTTTGACCCTGTTACTCTATTATGATGTTTCCCATGCAGTTTACTCAAGCCAATGAGTTTTGAGGGCTATGCAGTGGCACACATGCACGTTTGAAGGAAGTGAGATGGTACCTTTGAGAAGCAACTTATGCATTTATGTGCACGACTCTCAATTGGACACCCCAATGGCAGTCCCTACTAATTAGAAAATAATTTTCATGGACTTTTTTTTAATGCAGAACAAACATTTATTAATAATTTTAACAATTAAATGTCACAATATTTCGTTATTGGAGGACTTTGTTTTACGCATTTATTTCTCAACACACCACTAAACATAATATTTATGTGAATGATGGATCTCCATGAGACTTGTTTTAAATGTGGAGTGCAACACATAACGTCATCACTGGGAGCTCAATGAAGGCCAAGTCTACCCGAGGACATCAGCACAGTGGCTGGAATAAAGCAAATACCACCTGTGGCAGCGCACACCTGTACTTCAGCGCTTTGGAGGAGGGGTTGGTGGGTGACGCACATTTAATCGTGCGCCGTGAAATTAAAAACACGCTCGGCAGTGAGATGGGCAGAATATAGCAGTGCAGCAGGTTGGATTTCGGCTTCTAACGTTATTGTCACCCCTACGCAATGCTAGGTTTAATCAAGGCAAATAATCATGGAAAAACAAATCTCCGGACTCACTGAGGCAGCCTTAGACAAGAGTCATTGCGATTGTTCGTTGTAATTCAGCGGAGGTACTTTGGAGGAGGTACTTTGTCTTGAGCTAGATGCGTTCTGTCCCACTGTTGCCTGTTTCACCACACACATCGCTCTGACGTTGTTTGTTCTTGTTCCTTGCTACTGCACCGTGGATCTCTCATGCCAAAATAGCTGGGTAACTGGCTAAATGGGACTGTCCGTCTAACAAATAAACAGGAAAGCCTCTGTGGATGGCGAGGCTCTTTCTCAGGAGGGTGTCCGTACCGTTCTTGGGCCGTGACCTCATCCAGGGAACATTGCCTCTGCTGCAGCAGAAACTGCAGCTTGCGGATCTTCTGTTCATATATCAGCCGCTTATCTGCCGTGTCCCTCTCCTGCTGCGTCAGACTCTGAGAGAGCTTCTCCATGCTTACCAACATCTGCTTATTGGAGTCCTGCACAAAAACAGACACATGACAAGTTTTGTAACAATTGCCTTTTTACTTTTTCCCCACCAAATTATATGCCAAATGTGCTCTGGGTGTCATTTCACGAGATCAAGACATCTCCATTTCAGAGCTCTCGCAGTAAGAAGTGCATTGCCTTGTACCAGAGAACAGACCCCAGAAGGCAATCTCACACGAGCTCCCGAAATACTTTTAAACTTCTAAAATCACTGCACAAGCATGCAGTTATTGATGATTTGGCTGAGCCAATCAACTCATTGTCCGTGAGAATCCGGTTTTATATTGGCTGGATGCCCTGTATTGAACACAGAAACTCTGCAGTGCTTGCTCAGTGCTCTAATTTGGTATTAGAAGCTGAGTTGCCCAGCCTAACGTTATAATGTGATTCTGATATTCAACAGACACTATGTTGCAGTCATAAATCTCCCTCTGTGCATGACATTGTTTGTTCATAAATTCACCATTCATAACATGTAGTGGTGTCTGGTTGGCAAATATATGGGTGAGGCACAGAAGCCCACGGGGGAGGAGGGGGAGTATTTACAGTTTATAATCTTTATAATGAGTAGGTCATCCCTGGCACTTAAAGATAAAACGCCACTGCTAGAAGGGGTTAAAAAAGCGTGACCCTACAGATATACAACGGCCGAAAATATAAGGTTAAAATAATCGTTGCCGAACACAAGATATGTTTGGTGTCCGTGATGCTACTTGATGCCAAAGGCATGGTTAAACTCGACCGGTGGTAATAGAAGAATCATTATTGTGTAGGTCCGTGTGTGCTCTATCACACATTGCTGAAATTTTCAGTGGTCCCCTCCCCGCTGGTTGTCGTGTGTGCTGAGAAACTACGAAATGTGTGATCATGGTTATGGGTGCACACTACCTTTAGAGCGAAAGTAATTTATTCAAAGCGAAGGGAATGCAGCAAATACATTGTTTTTTTAAACTTTAATGTGCATAATAGTTCATTGATGAGTATGCAGAATATAATTTGGATACGAATCATTTACATGCAAGCACACATCAATTTTTCAAATCACAGGTATATACCACAGTGTTATTTTTTAAAGTCCTTTGTTAAACCACAGTTAGATGAAGACCTCCCCATGCTGTATCAGTTATGGAGGTTGTTTGACCATACTTCACCATGCTGTCAGTGTGGGTTGGTGAAGGGGGACCCAGGACCAGATCAGATATCACTTGTAACTGATGTTAGCTGAGAATCACTCAGGTTACCCTTTTTCATTACTCTACTCTCCGCAGAATAAAATTAAAATCATATGAAACTTTTTTTCCAAAAGGCTATTTATTTTAATGCACAAAATATGAGCCAATTTTTATATTTCATAAATTACTTGCAAATTCCTTGATTGGTGAAAACCACGCGGTGACATTTCTCCCCCTAGGGATCGACTTAACCGTGGCCGTAGTACCCACGGCACGGTAATCTGTGCTGAGAGATGTTAATCAACGCACATGAAAAGCGGTGATTTCAAGCGGAAGTGAGTGCGTGTGGGCCGGCCCTCACCTGTAGCTTCTCTGGCTGTTCGCCGTCATCGCTGCTCCTCTTTATCAATTCCTTCAGCGTCAATCGGTATTCATCAGCGATGGTCTTTGCCTGCCGAGAGAGCACAGGGGTTGCTCGGGTGTGGGTGAGCAAGAGGATCTGGTTTAGGGTAGAAGTGAGACTCACGCTGAGTGATAGTGTTGTCAGTGAAGGTGTTGACCATGACGACCATGACATTCAATATAATACACTGGTCTACGATGATACAAATCAAAATATTGCAACTCTTCAGAATCAGAATCTTTATCAGAATCAGACCTGAATCTTTATTTAGACTCGAGGAATCCGATGAGCAATGAAGCTATTTTTCACAGATGTCCAGTATGATAAGGGGACGTGAACCCAGACCAATTAGGTACCCCACTCCACCTTCTGCCAGGACTTGTATCCGAGTTCAATCCCAAGCTCAAATTTCCCAACCTCTCTTAACCTTGCTCAATTCAGGACATGTGTTAACGCATATTTATTACGAATTTTGATAGTGCTGTTTGTTGCTGGCCACTTGACATTTCGGGTCTTTGGGCCCATGCTCAGCGAATGTGTGAATTAAAAAAAAACACCGGTACATTCTAAAGAGTGAGACTTTTGAGGGATCGTGAGCGCGCGAGAGTAAAAACACGCAACTCACGACTTACCAAGCGCTTGGCTTTGGATTTTTCTCTCCGGGCATTCTTGGCCACACGAACCATGGCAGAGAGGTGCAGAGTGGCTGTCTCATCTACATCACGCGCTTCCTCCACTTGCCGAGTCAGCGTGTTCGCCGCCTGCTGCACAGACCTGCACACCGCAAGTGTTGGAGACGGATAGACAGATAAGAAGGGTTACAGTTATGTTTATTGTTGGGGTACAGTTAAGGCAGGGATCGGGAGAATGTGGTGGTATGACCATTGTAGGTTTCAACTTGCACGAGGGTGTTGTCATAACAGGGTTGCCGGGACGAGGGCCAATTATAATACGCAAGATGTTTGAATTTAAATGCTCTCTAAAATAATGACGATAAAATCCATGGATTATCAGATGTCTTCATACTCACCAGGTGTTTACGTGGTGAATGTGCAGAAGGCACATCAACCAGCCACTCACGAGAGGTGGTTTCTTCCTCCAACCTTTGAGGTTCCATACCCCTAGCAGGAGCAGCTTCCCCCTCTTAACCAGTTCTGCAAATTTGTGCCAATTGATGTCGATCCCACTTAGAACTTTATCTTTATCTGCATTCTCGGTAATACATGTACTTCACACTGGCATGTACTGCACATTAGCCCCCTATGAAAGGTCACAGAGCTGTCACACCTCAAGTTCTTCTTGATCAGGTTGAGCTCATTGGTCAGCTCTTTATTGTCGGCAGACAGCTCGGCATTGTCCAGCGTCTGTCTGCGCGCCTCGGCCTGAGCCTCCACGAGCCGCTCCTTCAGCAGCTGCTCGTCAGCCATGTGCCGGTCCACCTCCTCCTTGAGCTCTCTGTAACAAATTGCAACCGCAGCTCACTCGAGCCCACCAGTGGGACAGCTCGACGCTAGTGGTGTGGTCATGGGGTGTCCGCGCGACGCGACCACGGCGGGTTTCCGTGCACGCTTGTAAGATGGGAGGTGCGGCATCGGTAATTGACGACGTGCGATGCGCGGAGGTAGAGACGGCGCTGCCTATGCCCCCGTCGGTTTGTCCCGCTGTCCGCCCCCTCCTCGCGCCCACCGCGTACCGCGTGAGGGAGGCGACCAGGTGCTCGTGCTCCTCCTTGCTGATGCGGCCGGCGAGTCGCTCGGTGAGCTGGGCCCGCAAGCGCCGCTCGCTCGCCAGATCCTGCTCCAGCGCATCCCTCTCGTCCTGCTTGGCCACCAAGAGCCGCGTCATCTCGCCCACTGGAGATCGCGCCAGCACAGCAGTTCGTCACTAGAGGAAGGTCTGTATTACTGCATGGATCGCAGAGCTGGGGTTTAACATGGCAACCAGAAAACGTGTGTAAGGCTTGACAGAGTGGCAGCCAAGGAATGGTAGGCGTCGGAGAAGGCGTCAGCGAAGGAGATTGAGGAATAAGATGAGTTCATGTACAGGTGCTGGGTGAAATATTACATCGCAGGATCGTGAGAGGTGATGATGGAGGTCTCATGTGTACAGTATTGTACATTACATTAATGTTTTAAATTCTATGTATTTACGCGGGAAAATATCAATCATATTTTACATTCAAAATACTTCCCGTTTAATGTTTTGGTTGATGTAGTGTAACATAAAACAAAAGGAGGGGGTGGGGCGTCGTATTACGAACCATGAACCAAACCCTCATCATCCCATTTCTTTTTGAGTCTGCGGATCGCGGATTTGCCGATTGCGGCTATCTGCAAGAACGTAACCTCCCCACCCCCCACCGCCTCCCGTTGACGGACGAGGGGCTTGCTGCGTTTACTTGCGCTCTCGTGCTTGCGGCGTGTGTCCTCGCACGCCTCCCCGTGGGCTCTCCGCTGCAGGCCGAGCTGGTCGAGCAGCACCTTGTTCTCCTCCACCACCAGCTGGGCCTGCTCCCGCATGAGCCGCCTGTCACGGGGTCACAACCCGTCACAGCGGCGTGAAACTCACCGCCACCCTCCGAGCCCTCGCGTGAGTTTCACTCCCGTCTCCCGAGACCAAATCTTGTCCAGGAAACAAATTGGCATTGTAAGCGATTAGGGTGTTTGGTTGTGTATACAGTTAAACATTATATAAACGCATAGGTGTATTGGCAAAAAAGAGTACTTTTAGTAACGTTGAAGTTCTGTGCAAAACTAGTTACTACTGGCCAAGACTAATTAGAGAATCGATCTAAATTGAGAGAAATAAAAATAATTGTAACCGTTCGGATAGTTACAGGCTTGGAAGTAATACAGTTTAACTGAATGCCTATACAGGTCACCATACGTCGATGGGGATGACCTGTGAGCAGACAATAAGAGGAGGGAGTGCTAGCTATTTCCGTGCACACAAACAACATGATGTACAAGAACAACGTGCATGTATAATGTGCATGCATAATGTACATTCATGATTACCATATGAATAACCCAACAGGTAATAGATACCCATTTTTAATGTATATGCATTCATTAACCCCCCGCCGAACTCTGGCCTTCGCACAAGAAGGGCTCACAAGTGACGACTTTACATCTATCCCTCTATTTAAGGAATGAAAAAGGATTTCTCCACAAATCTGGCTGTCGCCTGATGACGCTGGTTGTAATTACTGGTGAAACGTCGTACTCAGATTGTAAATGTTGTGGATTTACTCTCCAACACACCGGTGTGCTGTGCTAGTAACGAATTGGCACGTTCTGCTTACGTGACAAACCTTACTAATTGGCGGTGTCGGGTGGTGGCGGGTTTAACAAGACATTTATATATTTACGTGATCTGACCCAAAAAACCTGTATTATCTATGAGTATTTTTATCCAGTCAGGTGTTCATAAATTATGCCTCTAATACCCAGTGCTTTGCAACCTGGAACTTAAAAGGAATTGGTCCTACGCATGTTGCCCAAACACCTAACTTACAAACACCTGCACTTACAAACCGGCTTCCATGAAATATATTTTTTTGTTACACAAAACGCGCACTCTCACTTGCAAACTGAACTGCGGAAACATTTTGTTCAGCGGATGGATACTCCGTGAGATGTAATGAGTCAGCCTCGCAGGGATTGAGTGTTTGTGTGTGTGTGTGCATGCGCGACAAGTGTGTGTGTAAAAGTAGTGTAGCAGTTTGCGCGCGGCGCTACAAACCTGGCGACCGTAGTTGGATTTCTACTCACGGCCCAGACCTGTGATGATTATCTAAAAAGGTGTTTGTAAGTCGAGGACTGTCCTGTATACATAATCATGTATATAGAAAAAAATTACAAAAAATATTTGACCTGAAGAATCGAATTTTTAAGTGAGCAACATTTTTCCGATACTGTTATTGTAATTTTCTGGACAGGTGGCAAAGTGGCAGAAGCCTTGACCCACATTTGGAATCGTTCTTAATTCAAATTGTCATCAGAAATTCAGCTCATCATCCTTCAGGGGTCACTAAACCGAGTATCTAAGCGGGAAGACAAAACTGGCTCAGGATGAGCACCGGCCAGTGACCACTTGTGTAGCAAAGGCAGGCCGAGGTTCAGCTTGCTACCAGGGGGAGCTCGCGATTCCCTCCTCCTCACCGCTCCTCAGCACGCTCCTCGCTCTCCGCCAGCAACTTCTGCAGCTTCAGCTGCAGCTCCTCGTTCTCGTCCGCCAGCTTCTCCGTGCGCGTGCGTAGGGCCTGCAGCTCCTCCTGCAAGAATTGTCAGCCGGTACGGCGACAGAATCACGACTGTGAGAGAGCAGCTGGCGGCTGAGGAAGAGACCTCTGCACACAGCCAAGTGAGATGAGAGAGAAGAAGTTGACAGGAATGAGCAACATGCAGGATTTTTAATTGAGCCTTTTAATTGTGGTCAGACAGTACTTTACCTTGAACAGGGAAATTATTTCTTCCTTCTCTTGAAGGACAATGTCATACTCCAGGATGAGAGGAGAAAGCGTCCTCACATCCACCTGTACACACAAAGCCCAAGTACATTGGAAAAATAATAAAACATCACTCAACCTGTCCTCTGTACATGTGAAAATCATTCTTCTGCCAATTCATGGCAGAATTGTAGCCAAATTGGTGAAATGTATAGAAATGTGTCCGTTTATCATCTTAATAGCTCCCATTCCCTCAAAATTCAGGGGGGTCATGTTAATTTACAAATGTAGGTCTGGACTCTGTTATAAAGAAAATAACTAGGCAGAAGGATTACCAGCCAGGGAGGGATTGGTCCTTTGAAGCGCAGAACATTTGGCGTCTTATTCTGTGAAATGAAAGGGCACCATTGCATTATAGGTTACACCACAGCAACAACGATTATTAAAATTCTAATTATTTAAAGATTGCAACATTTGTGATCTTTAATAATTGTACAACTATGAATGTATGTTTTTCCATTCCATTTATAAATTTAGAACCAAAAATAGTATAAGAATGAATAATATACCAAAAAGCAGCAAAACATTCCTATCAAAATTATAATTAGTTTTATTTGAGAACGCACCACTTGACCTGGAGAGCAAAAACATTTCATACAGTGTTTGGATTGTTGTGTTTGCTCAATAAAGACACTTATTTATGGATGGATGAATTACACTATTTTTCATATAATCATTCTGTCAACTTAAAATATCAATAATGAAAATACCTACTGAAAGATATGTATTTTCATCATCGACATCACCACACACTTATTGATGCAATGCGAGGTGTTTGTCAATCGTTCAGCTTTGAGCCGGGGAACTCAAAGTGGCGCGGCCCTGTGTACACGGGCGCCTTGCTGTGTACACGGCCACGGTGGAGGGATCGCACGCGAGTTGCTGCCAGAGCAAATACATTAATATTGACCGCAGTTTATGAAAGGCAATTTGTACAAGATAAACACGAGTACACTATCTATTCTGTTTACTAGATGTTAGTCATACAGCGGCACATTATTAGATTAGCCAAGCAAGTCAAAGGGTCTCTATGCTCAAATAAGCGCGTGGACGTTTTATGGCCAGCGATGGAAATTCCAGATTGGCAAATGAGCCAAAGGGTCACCTCGTCTCTCGTGAGAGGGCGGAATGTGGCCTGGTAGCGGCTCAACAGCACGTTCAGCCTGCGCACCATCTCATTCAGGGAGACCACCTCCTCCTGGGCACGGTCATTCGACTCCTCGCCTGCCGACGGCATATCCATAGGCAAGCTGTTAGTGCCGAGCACGCGTGTGGGAATTGACAAAGGAACGAGCAGGTCTCCTTGCTCAGGCAAGCACGCCTATAGAGCACCAACAGCCGCCATTCACCACTAAGTGGCGGTGATGTCACCATGGTGCCTGTGCCAGGCCAGGTGCACTTCGAGGCCACGTGAAGTGTCGAAGGCTCGCTGCTGGCAGGAGGTTACAGGACAGACCCAGCTGCCATGGGTTGACTTACTGAGATGACTGGCAGATGCACCACCTGTGCCCCCTACTGTGTCAACTTTCTGCTGTTGTTGTGAGCGTCGCTCCTCTGCCCTCCTTTATTGCTGGAAGGCGAGTGCATCCAACTGCCCAGAAGCGTCCTTCACGAGCCTCCTCCATAGGAGATATGCCCTCAAGCATCCGACACCTGTTGTACACAAACTGCACGCCCTTCTCAGTTCAAGTCGAAAAGAGTACTTGATCATATCTACCCAGTGTGAATGGCCCACGCCTGTGCAGATTCCCACTCAAGCCGTGAGCAATCAAGCGAGACGCACAATGTGCAGGGGACTGCCAGTCCTTAGCCCAGAAAGCAGCATGTATGAAGGTGAGATGCGCAAGCTTTTGCGCCTCTGGTGGGTAATAATTGGTTCTGAAAAATTCTGGTGATCAATTACAAGTTGCCCCTTTTATGTATATTTTAGACAATCAAAACAAGGGAATATTTCAGGAACTGCAATGGCAACGGAGTACAAAACACAGTCAATAATAAATCCACTTGTATCATTAACAAGCAATGGTTGAAACACTGATATATAGAGTAGGTTGTTTTTATATATGTATCTTAGGACTCATTGAGTCTCAAGATTATTTATCATGAGGATCCTAGATTTGGATTATTGCACAATGTCCCTTCTATAAAATCATATTGAAGCTGTGGCTATGGTTCAATAAGCATTGGGCAGTGCTCCTCCTGAATGGTAAACATTCCACATATATACGGGGCCGGTTTCCCTACGGGACAAATGCTGTTGATGCCCCAGAAAGTTATACTTATTTTATCGACTGCAGGAGGATGATGGGCTGAATCAAACTTTAAATGTGATTAAAACTCACAAATTGCAAGCGGGAATCAAGCACGCTGGATCAATTGATACAAGGCATTTGATTCATAACAAAATAATTAAAAACATACAGGCATTCATTGTGGGCTTCCCCATGCTGTATCAGTACAGCAAAACAGGGGGAGCCAAGACTGATTCAGGTATCATTTGCCACCGATATTAGCCATGGCCGAAAATCAAACTCATGTTGTCAAGTTTATAGCACAGCGTACTAACCACTGTGCCACCTCTCCCCTGATCAACAACGAGCATAGCATTCAGGACTTGTGTCATGGTGTGTGTGTTGCTGCCATTGCGATGAAGTCAAACGCTCATTACCAACTCCTCTTCCTGCGACCCTTCTGTTCCCCTTCATCTGTTCCCGCAGGGCATGCAGTTCCTCCTGCAAACAGATGGCTCGAATCATTCACAGAGAATGAGGTGGCCGAATGGGCAATAATCTTGGAAGGAGAAGAACTTTGTGGTGGAAGAGACTGTCATTTAACAAAATGGCTCTCCGTTATTAAAGTGTGTTGTTATTTGGCATATCTATAGGGTGCATCACTGGCATCTGATGAGTGCAGAACACACTAAGCATGGTTGAAGAAGTTCACCAAGAATTAGTTTTGAGCAATGATCCCAGTGGATAAGTAACAAAAGCCCTGCCTTTGGATTATATATTGCACTGTTTAAAATATACACCGTTGGATAAGTAATAACTAGCATACGTAACATACTTTTTATCACAATTATTGCACTTGTTTGAATATATTGTACGTTATAAGATGTGAACCCAATTTACAGATCTTATCGTCAGTAAACTAAGCTCTAAATGTTTTCCAATTGTCATATTTGCATCACAAAATGCACAATATTTACACGTACCCATTGGGCTATAGCAATCATGTGATTTTCAGAAGGTTGTCCATATAGTGTACATATCAGCTGTACCTCGTAATTGCGTATCATCTCTTCCTTCTGTTGAAGCTCCTTGTCATACTCCAGCAGAAGAGGGGGCATGTGCTGCACGTCCACCTGCACAGGACAGATGCTCGAGGCAAGGAAACTCGTTGTAGCATAAAACCTGGGCCTAACCGGTTGAAGAAGACTCCAGCTAGGACCGGGCCAACCCCTCTTTAACCTCTCCCACCTGTTCTCCTCACTGGCACCATAACTACTACACTCTAAATTCCCACATATGGCATAAGCCACTTCGATGAGCTATCATGTGTGGCCAGCTTACCTGTGCAAAAGAGATAATGGCTCAGTGGATTGTACCTGGTAAATAAAATATGGTATTTTATTCATGTTTTAGCTGAGGTACCTTTTCAGCTGATAATTGGGGGAGACGTTCCAATTTCTCCACGTACCAACAATGCGGCAAATCGCCACAGGTGATTTATTTTGCAACATGTGAATATGACCCAAGCTATCTCAAGTACAAGCTATGAAAATAAGTCATAACAACCTGCTGTTAGCCTCATTCTGATACTCATGTCCTAATGACCTCATCTAAATGAAGTATTCACGCATAGACACGTAAGTGTGTGGAGGCAGGGTTGGTGTCATAGAATTGCACTCTTTCCAAGTCATCAATTCAACACTTTTAGGAGTAAACGAGTTGGTGCTTACTTTTACTATCGTTCTTATTTTAATTTAAATGTTTTTATCCCTGCTTCAAGATGATATGTGATACATTGATGCTAGGTTTTTAAGAAGTTTGCAGTACAGTATTTATCTTCTCCTATTCATGACACAAGCTGACAGTTCCTTGGATAAGCAAACACGTGGATAATTTGAATTTCAGCCTCTTATCCACAATATAAAAACATTGTTTGCAATTATCAATATATCCCATCAGAAATTACCACATAAGCACAAAGACATGACGCTAAAAGTAGCTATAGTTTAAAAAAGAAGGCAGTTTTCCATCTCGGTGGCAGACTCATTGGCACAACACTGTACTGCAAAACAACCAATGAACCTTTCGACTGGAAAAAGATGATAGGCTGTATAACTTCCATTTAGAATGGAACCGTCTTGAAGCCAGGTTGTGAGAAACAATGAAAAAGGCATGGGTAACGGCCCACAGGATTACCAGCCATGGAGGGAGGGGCCCTTTGAAGCATAATCCATTTGCCTTCTTCTTCCTCTGTGGGATTAAAGGAAAAGGACAACGTATGTCCCTGTGATGAATCACAGCAGGAAAGCTCAAAGTGTAGCATGCCCCACGGGCCTGAGCAGGTGGACACAATTCCACATTCCTAGCTAGGCAAGTAGCTGAGAAACATGCTTTCCAGCATGCACACGTGTCCCCCTATCATGGAATCATCAAGTTCTGTTGCATAGATTTAACGGAATGGCCAGGAGGACTAATTTGTGTACACCTGGAAGATTCATGAACTTCCATTATTGTCCGTGTGAACTAACACATTATTTCAGTCGAGCATCCGTAGAACATTTAAGCCACAGTAACTTCAATAAGCAAGGGAGTTGTGACGCAGTGGTTAGTGTACCCTGATACGAAATCGACTAACCGAGTTCAATTCCTGGCTAACATCAGTGGTGAGTGATTTCTGCACCAGTCCTGGGCTCCACATCCATTCACCAACCTGCATTGACCAATGACGTGAGGTATGGTCAAACAACCCCCATGACTGAGACAAAGTGGGAAGGCCTTCATCCAATAGTGAACAAAGGCTGTAAGTTATCCCTACTCTCATTCACTTAAATAAAATGGGATTATGGTTTCCATCCATTTAAACTCCCGCTCAGCGTCACTCCCCAATAAAATGTAATACTTCTTCAAACAAACTCCCTCTGTAGGCTATAAAAAAAAAACATTTCTTGTTCTCAGTGTAGCAATTCATGCCACCCCATCCTTCCTCTTTTCCTTCCCCACAATTTCCCATTTTAAACCGCCATATCTCATGGACCATATTCTGGTATCATTCACACATGCCACAGACATCATAGCCTGGGCTCCCAATGAAATACTTCAGTGGGCCTTACCTAGTAAAATAAGAATAGCTTTAGTTTCCGTAAGAGATGGCGGATTTAGTTTCAGCTATGAGCAGCCGCCGTTCTGAAATTGAACATTAGCTCGCGTGAAACGTTAATTAACACACATTTTGTAAACGCCAGTTGTGCAGGTCAGTATAGTGTTTTATTTTTTCATTGATGGTGCCTGATTCTGGCGGCCTTTAATGATGAGACACCACTGGGTTAGTAGTTATTTTAGCGACCACCTGCTCAGTCAATTTCACCTGGTATCTGAGTTAATGATCTTAGAATTGAGTGAAGCACTTTCCTGGGTAAGCATTTCGTGTTGTTTTTAGAAGTTAACAGTGAACGTTGTTATAATGAGCATGCCAGGGACTTTCTAGGATTCTCATACAAAAATTAAATTTCAGATTTTCAGCAATCATTTTCCTGTGTGAATGGTAAATATACTGAGCTTCACCTAATAAAAAAAATATCATAATATATATTCAAATCACGTGTTTCTCACATGATCGCAAAAGATGTTAACATTTTGAGATTGTTTCTAGAAAATGATTACACGTACACATTACCATAGTTAAATTAGAATACCCATTAATACATAAATACACATTCATTTGTTTTTACCTACATATCTCCAACATCAACATTCATAAGTGTAAAGTACCTTCACCAAGGCTGTTCATGTCCACTGTGTGTGCACAAATAAAAAAAGCCAACAACCCACAATGTTGTGCGGGTCACACAGTATCATTGTCATAATTGACCCTCGAATTGACCTAAGTCTTTTCTACATTCAGGAAAATGTAGCTGAGATGTTCAGAAAAAAATCTAACGTGAGCACTTCCTCCTGGTCGTAAGCATGTACATACACAAGGGGGGTTACCTCTTCTTTTGTCAGAGGGCGGAAGGTTGCTTGGTAGCGACTGAGCAGCACGTTGAGCCTGTACACCATCCCCTTCAGAGTGGCCACGTCGTCTGGGACAGAGCCACTGAGCGCATCCGCTGGCGACCGCAGGCAAACAGACACGTAGTCAGCCGTGACGAAAAAACACGGAAACCTACAGAAGATTGTGAGGTTTCACCACTCAGATGTCCTCTACAGCTTTAATATCACGGAGGCTCAAGGAACTCTAGGCCCAATGTGAAGAGAGCAACGTCAGAAAATAAGTTCTGAGAGTGGCAAGTGGTCCACATGGATAAACAGTGGTCAACTTTCGTTTGCAAATCATAACTGTGTGGGTAGAGGTGGGCAATGAGCTCCAGAGTTTAGCAGCACACGCATGGCAGATGAGGCATGTATGCCCATGATACAAATCACACCAGTGCCATTTGCAACACACTAAACCAAGGTGGTCTAATAACCGCCATAATCCACATTGCCACAGGGAGGCTCCCATCCAGTGGTGAATGAACACAGAGCCGTAAATGTCAATGTACATATTTTGAGGTGTAGGTTTGTGCCACAAACACATGCCTGCATGTTTTGTTAAGTCCTCTGAACTGTGCCCATGTTGTGAGTGAGCTACTGCTTGCTTTTACCTGGACGTTCCTCATCCCTTGGTGTGTTCACAGTCACCTGAGGATCATTCCAAAAATATCAAGATTACTCACAACACACACAGCTTAGCTACCATTATAGTTTCACGTGATCATGTCCAACTTCAATCGCAACCCCTAGTTTAATTGACATTAATATGCACAGGTCTTGAGTCGTTACAGCAAATTCAAGAATGTTAAATTGTGGCAGCATATCACACCTTTGGATTCATTTCGGGCTGTCGCTCTGTTACAGAAAGAGAAACATTTATAAAATTAATACACAAATGACTGCATGCGTACACTTACAAGAATATGACATTGAAACAGATTATGCGTTTAACCTCAAAGTGTTTCCACATGAGCATTGAGCTGTGCTCATCTTTGCTGATGATCCTAAGACAGTCGTCGAATTCCTCATTACCATGGCAAGAGCCGGTCTCCATTGGAAGAACACTGTTGGCTTAGCCGTAACGTGGTACTCATTTGAGCTATCCATGAGATATGGTGGGTTGAGCAGATGTCTGAGAGAGATGTTTTTATTTGCAAACTTTCAACTGGGAGTCATATAATACAACCATTGGTCACCTCGGCAGACTATGACTATTAACTAACACTATGTAAATGTACCACAAAGCCACCAAGAACAACACAAAGTATGGCTGTGTTGGTGTGCAACCTTACTCTTTTTGGGTTTCTGTGCCTGCTGAGTGTTTGAATGCCCTTCACTTGAAATGGCTTCTGTCACTTCTGCAACCTCAGCCTGCAAGCAGCAACAGAGTAATTGAAGAAATCAGACTGATTAACGAGATTATATATATGTAAGCACAATAGAGCTGGACTTAAAGCTTTCGTGACTACAGGAATTAAAATTATTTGGGTCTTTCGGTAAAGTCACGTAGATTGGTTCAAATTAATACAAATAAAATAAAATTCGACGTTTCCATCACAACACAAAGCAATCGTCATCCTCCTTTTTATTAATTTGAACCTATCTACGTGACTTTACCGAAAGGCCCAAAGAACACAATAGAGCTACCATTATAGTTTCACCTTCATAAGGGCTCATCAGCAATTCATAGCCAGCTATAGACTGATATGAATGTTGAGAATGGTACAGGGAAACTAAAAGATTTAAACTTATTTTTTCTTCCTTTGTGCCATTTTTGGTTAATATCCCTAAAGTGTGGACCAACTTTAATAAGTCATGAACTTCACTAAAACTGCCTTAAAAAAGGTTAAAGGAAGAAACTAGGGCCCAGGATTGGTTCAGATATCACTCATCACTGATGACACCTGTGGCTGAGAATCGAACTCAGGTGGCCAGTCCATAGCGCAGTGCACCAACCGTTGCACCACTGCTCCCTCTGCTATGAATCTCCTCTATCGTGGAGACTCAAACTTGAATAAACAAAATAAATATATGGTATGTGTAACACTAGTTCACAAAGGTGAGCTTCTAGAGAACAGGAATTGGACCGATGTTGTTGAAATTATGCATTCCCAGAAGGCCATGTGGCTGATGAGATGTGTAAAATGTGGAGGGGCAGATATGCGAAGGTGTTGACTGCTTCTTTATCTATTTATGGTTTGTGTTTTCCTTTAATAATGCTTTCTATAATCTTGTGAAGGAATTAATGCTCAGACGTGCTGGTCGTTGGCACGTACATGCTTATTCTTGTTCGGCCGGGCGTACATCTCTGACAAATCCTGGCGGATGGCTGAGCTCTCTCCCAGGTTGCCTTGTGAGTCGACGTCTGGAGACATTGTCTCTGCACGAGACTCCACTGCTGTTGTAACACAAATGTAAAAGGGCACATTCTCGTGAATCAAATGATGCCTCTGCGCACAATGACTCCAAAGACGCACATCTGTAATTTGCCTTCTTGCACTATCCTGAAGAGAAGACGTTAAACCCGACGCATAAGTACAATTCTAAATTATTAAATTGCGATGCCTTGTAAGGGTATATCATCAGTTCTGTTTATCATCAGTTCAACCTGATTTTTACTACAAAAATCAGAATGCCATGGGATACTTTGACTGAGCCCACGTGACTCAAGCAACATGAGGTTATGTCCTGATTGGCAGATGGTGTTTTTTTAATGTAAATTACTACACGAGTTACAATACGACTTGCAAATCGAGCGTTACTTTTTTATCACTGTGGAACATTAAAATTAATGGCAGCTGCAGAGGTCATGAATTAATTTACGAACACATATTTATTTTACCATTGTGAAGTTTTATGATATGAATATTGAGTTAATGAACTGTAATTGTCAGTATTATATTGGTTTAGAACACGATTTTTTGTATATGATCTGAGCTATGTGACCGAATCAGCAACCTCTGGATTGCAAGTCCCTACTGGACATTTGTGAAAAAGAGCTTCATAGCTCATCGGATTCCTCCACCCAGACAGCTCCCGACCAGAGCATGTGCGTGTCACATTTCAGTTAGTAGTTTTGGTGATCATGTACAAAACGTGTTTTGTGCTGAAGCACCTTGACTTCTGGACGTCTCCTCGCCATCAGAAAGTGGAACTTCAACTCTGTCCAGGTATCTTTGGAAACATATGAAAAGAGCAGACACTGTATCAAAGTGGACATTTTGATATGCCTGTTTATGGGAATGAAAACTATGGAAATGTGTTACATTTGCATTTAAAATGATTGAAAATGTCTGTAAACAATCAATAAAACTGTAATTATGTGATTTGGTCTAAACACCGTGGCTTTGAAAGTATAGTTTAAAAAAAGGCTACTCAACATGAATCTGGCTCTCCAATGTGTGCTTGCGTTGTATCACATGTTGCTCAGCATAATGTTCGACATTTCCCTCCATTTGCTGGAAGCTTCTTCAGAAACTGTAACTGGAGGTGCCATGAAACCGAATTTTACGTTTCGCTCTCAGGAACTATTCAGTTCCTAAAGAAGCTCCCAGCATGTGGAGTGAAACATCGAACATCACGCCGGGCAACACGTGGTCCAGCCCTAAATCAGAAGGGCAACAAACTTACTGGCCAGTAGGGCCGTACGGCTCCACGATGCTGTCCGTGTCCGAGAAGGACCAGGAGCGAGGCCGTTGACTTTGCAGATTCGCCAGGGGCATGCCCACGACACGGCCCGTCATCGATGACACAAACACGGCCGCTGCCAGGGCAGAGCTGGGATACACACACGGCCGTGCAGGTTAACAGTTGGCGATGGATGGCCCATCTTCTGCTGAATGGTGGTGGTGGTGGTGGCGACAAAACCACCGTGACAAATGCTCTGAAATAGGCCACTGCTTTAAATATTGTTCCGGTAAAAAAAAGCATACGTTAATATAATTATGCATGCATTCAACAGTTGATAGATTGATAAATTAAAACTGATTTTCATTCTATAATGTACTCTTCGTGATATGTAAGAATAAATGTAAATGCGGATGTTAGGACAACAAAAAAATAGACCTCATATCAGTGCTGCGGTGAATATTGTTACATAGATCATATATTTAGCATGTGCTTATCGAACAAAAAGCAAAATTGTACAGTTATCTATATGCATATTACTCTTTTGGCATTTAGTACAGAATATTGTGTGCTCAGATTACTAATGGGGCACACACCATAAGATATTTTATTAAATTTAGGAGACACTAGATTTTATTTAGATGCACATTTTGTGCAGTGCTTATTACAATTGAAACATTGTTTACTGATAAAATGGATCCATGCTTATCAGAATGTAAATTTGTTGTGTTTAATTGAACTGCATGTACACTCTTGAACAAGCAAAGATTGTGCCAGTGCATTATGGCTTAATGTTTTGTAAACCATAAAAGTGTGCACACATTAGGGATTAATATCAGCCTAGTCGATTTGAGTGAGCCATGCGGAAGATATTTCCACACCCAGCACACCATATCCGGTATACCTTTCGATATGGCTGTGGCTACTTACAGGCCACCACAGTTCTGTCTAAATGTCCACTTTAGAAAATGTTCAATGTGAAATGAAGCCCTGGCAAATCCCATATTCTGCTGCATGAACCACCATGAATGTGCGGTTACTAAATGCCATCAAGAAGTGCCCTGCTCGTGTGCCCTCAATGCTGGCCATGTTGTACCGGGGTTTGCGGCGAAGAATGTTCTCTGGGACGCGTGGGGACGGCGAGATGGGCACGGCCGGGAGAGGAGCCAGCGTGAGTGCTGGACCAAGCCCAGCACAGACATGTTTCTGGAAGTAACAGAAGGAATCATCATTGTCAGCTATGTTCAACACATTGCCGGATAAAGGTATCCCCAAGCTGTCACGGATATATTACGTTTCTGGAAGTAACAGAAGGAATACGATGCCTGTCTTTGACTCATCATGTATTGCCTATGACCCAGTCACCCAGAATATTCCCGATCTCATTAAACCTCAGAAGCGAAGCAGGGTTGAGCTTAGATGGTCCTTCGACAGGTGACCACCATGCATAGAACAGGTGTTGTTAGGCTGTTGCAGGACTACACTATCAGCATTCACCATTGTTGGACTGTATTATACTCCCTGCCTACCCCAACGACACGCGCAGTGTGGGGAGGTACTCATCCAGCAGTGGATTGACAAAAAGGCTGTACATGTACACACCAGTGACGTGCGGAGAGGTCAATGGCTGGGGAGGCACTGGCTAGTGTCAGAGCCAGATTCACACACTGAGGGGGGGGGGGTGGTCTCACGGAGGGGGCGTGGCCTCGCGGAGGGGGCGTGGCCTCACGGAGGGGGGCGTGTTAGACACGTCCTCCTCAGTGAGGCAGATGCGACAGCTGCCTCCTCTGGTGCTTTTTCATTGCAGTTTCATGACGAGACGAGCGAGCCTAAATATCATTATACACATACGTGAAATAAGTTACCTGGAGTATGGAAGGCGAGGACATGAAATGAAGGGGTCTACGAACATTACATTGGTGACATACTGAGATAGTAACAGGCACGCGCTTACTGCCCACGCTCCATCCAGTTACTGAGGGGTTGCGCAATCAGAGGGGAGGCTGAGCTCGCCGCTGCCTCACCTCTCGTCTCTTCCTGTATTTGCAGCGGAGCTCCGCAAATTTGGCGATTTTGACTATAAAAATTATTGGAATCGAGCAGAAATGACATTGATAACACAGATCAGTGGGAAAAAAATCTTAATAATTATTTTATTTTATTATTCTCTTTTTTTTACTTTTTGTAACAACTATTTTCATTGGGAGTATGACAGGTGAGGCTCTGTCTCCCCTGACCGCACGTCCCTGGTACACACGTGTATCACTGTACTCAAGTTACATATGGGTGAGGCATGTGCGCAATGGTGGAGCAGGACATGACAGGTTACCAAGGCTGGCACTTGAGTGACACCCAGAGGATGGCTTCCAAGGAGAAGACTTAAAGACAGATGCCATGGTGAGATAGATGGTGCAAGAGCAGACCTTGGATGATGGGTAAATATTTTAAACCCACAAGACAACCTTGAAGAAAGCGATGCTGGGGCGTGGTGGCATCATTCTGTGTGTACTCAGCGATACCTTTCTCAACTTTGTTTACTGAGTGTTTCCCAATAGTCGTATTCACAACGGTAGGTTTCCACCCAAATCGTCAGTGAAGTGTAAAGAGGGCTAAGGGGCCGTCCATAAATGACGTCACGCGATTTTGGATTTTTCACCCGCCCCCCCTCGTCACACGGCGTTACAAAAAGTCAGACCCCCCTCAAATATGACGTCACAAAGCTCTGCCCCCCCCCCAAAAAAAATAAAACATGCTTCAAATCGCTTTAAACTATTGTCACTGTAGTGCGTATTTAATGTGGCGCTGCACTCTGATGTTGTAGGAGAAAACATTTATTAAAAAGTCTATTTAATTAAGTAGAACGTGTTGTCTATATTTATTTAAAGTTGCGCATTGTGATGTGACGTCACATTTCTCAAACACCCCCAGGTGCGTGACGTCATTTATGGACGGCCCCTAAGGCTTGGGCATATTCATCCTTAAAAGACGTGAGCACAGCACTACAGTACGGCATAACATCAACTATTGTGCAAACGAACGAGGTTAAAGGACCGTGGGCTCTCAGAATGCGGTTTTAATCGCTCACGTTATAGGTCAAATTTTCCCGCGACTGAAAAGCGTGAATAATTGACTAATTAAAAGGCACTGTTGTTCCTACACTGCGATACAAAAATAAAACATAAAAGCTCAATTCGTGTCACGAAGAGCGTCACGTCAACAAATGACGGTGCCTCAACGCTCAATAGCTCATCATCCATCGCTGACGGACATTCCACGTTTCGATTTAAAGCTTTCGTGACTGCAAGGATTCATCTTCTTTGGTTCTTTCGGTAAAGTCACGTAGAATGAGAATAAAATAATACATTGATAAAATAAAATAACACAATAATATTCTCACGACGTTTCGGCCACAACACAAGCGGCCTGATGAAGGCCGTCTCGTCCTTTCACCTGAAAAGCGTGAAGGCCGCTTGTGTTGTGGCCGAAACGTCGTGAGAATATTATTGTGTTATTTTATTTTATCAATTTATTATTTTATTCTCATTCTACGTGACTTTACCGAAAGAACCAAAGAAGATGATTCCACATTTCGACAAGTGACGAGTCAGACCTTCCACGGGACAAACAACTGCTGACTTCGCACAAGTTTGTGGGGGGGTTTTTTCAACTCTCTCTCTCTAACCGAATGAAATGAAAGTAAACGCAGCGCGAACGTTAATTTCGCGGCGAATGTGTAAACAACAACAACGACAACGACGAGCGATAATCAACGCATTGACAACCGCACGCGACTTACAAACTCCCACTTGCTTTTGTCCTTGGAGAACATGGCGAGCGTCTTACGAACCAGACGGACGCGAAGCGAACGAGTCGCGCAGTCGTCGTCGTCCCATCGCGAACGAAACGCCACGAAGGAACGAATGAATGAATGCGTAGCCCCGTAACGAGCGTACCTGGTTGCCATGGCAATCGCTTCCGCGTTCCCAAGCGAGAGCTTACCCATTGGTTCAGCGTCGCGTGGGGAGGTGGGGGGAGGTGGGTGGGGTGGGGTGGGGGGGTCGACCAATGGGAAGGCGTCGCTGATGGACTTCGTTATTTAAGTTGTAACATTTTTTTAAATCATGGGACCTCCCTTGCCAGTGTCAAAACAATGTACAGCTAAGAGTAGAGTTTGCCCTTTCTGGCTGTCTCTGGTGTCGACCTCGGGGACCGTCCATAAATGACGTCACGCGATTTTATACGATTTTTGCCCCCCCCTCGTCACTTTTTTCACATTCCCTATTGCCGTACAAAAACTGGAGGAAGGGCCTTTGCTATTGATGCCCCCAGGGTCTGGAATCAGAATCAGAATCAGAAAGGGTTTTATTCGCCATGTAAGTTCACACCGACACGGAATTTACTTTGGCAGGATGGTGCATACATTCAACATATAGGAATCTAAAATCTTAAATAAGTTTTAAACAAGTCTTACTATAATAAGGGTTAAAAGTCTAACACTAAGGGGCTGAAGTATATAAAATTAAATAAATATCGAATATAAAATGGCTTTAAGATATAATTTAAAAATACAAATAGGGAAACATAGTTAATATCAGCAACGTGTCGTTATGTAGATCAAATGTTAAAAACAGTGTTAGCCCTTGGCCTTGTTTAACAGGCCAGCAGCAGATGGGAAGAAACCAATAAACTGCAACTTGAATCACTACCTATGCGATGTTCACTCAAAACTGCTCTAGAGGAGTTGTACACCCCTAGCTGCCACTGCTATTCAGTGGCCTAAAATAAAATAAAATGTTTCGCTCCGAATGACCGCTGCAAAGTATGATCTGTATTTAGATTTAGTGTGCTGATCTTAAAGGTGCATTGAAAAAATTTATACTCCGACTGATGCTCCTGTTGTTGTGGAGTGACTCATGCAGCCAGCTATGGCTCTAGGGTTTGGTGCTACATGTTGTTTATGTCGTTCATTGTGAAAATTCGGTCACAGTTCCTATGATCACTGTTACATTGCTTTTATGGCTTTATTTTTGTGATGTCGAAAAGTTTTTTGGTTTGGCCATGTTTGTTTGTTGTAGTACGGAGTTAGACTGATGCCCTTAATCTAAGTTGTCCTGTGGTTGTTGTTTGACATGTATCCCACTGGGTTTTTTGCACACAGCGTTGGTGTATGGTGCTTTTTCAGGAATATTTTGCTGTTTTTTCCTGGATTTTCTGTTTGCACAGTCACTTTAAGATGTTTTATTGTTCATGTTTTTTGTTTGTTGCGGTTGCACCCGATTCAAGAGCCGAATGGCTCACAGGGCTATACCAAATAAATGAAAACTGAAAGAAAACTCAAAGTCACACGACGTCACAAAAAGTTACCCCCCCCTCAAATATGACGTCACAAAGCTCTTTCCTCCCCCCCCCCAAAAAAAATAAAACATGCTTCAAATCGCTTTAAACTATTGTCATTGTAGTGCGTATTTAATGTGCCGCTGCACTCTGATGTTGTAGGAGAATACATTTATTAAAAAAAGTTTATTTAATAAAATAGAACGTATTGTCTATATTTGTTTAAAGTTGCGCATTTTGATGTGACGTCACATTTCTGAACCCACTTCCCTTTGTCACACATCGTCACAAATGTCTGACCCACCCCCCCTAGGTGCGTGACGTCATTTATGGACGGCCCCCTATCCGTTTCAGAGACAGTGCACATACTATCAGAGCACGTTTTTTATTTGCATGTTCGCCACAAGTATATATGTGGTTAATGCAGACATGATTCCTTGCTAAAAGGTTTCTGTTTGATGCTGTAACATCTTAACACAACTGTTTTATTGCCAGAAAGGGTAAAACCTATTCTTATATTATTTTTTTCATTTTAGTTTTTGATTCGCTAAGTAGTTTGGGGGTTTTGTTGCTTTTGCATAATCTGTGTGAGTAACTGGCTTAATCGATGTGCAAGCGTTATGGGATGCAATTGCATGAATGACGCTGTATAAAATGTAATTACTATTTATTAATCTATCTCATTCTCATGGGACCTTTTTTGCCATTACACTTCAAAATCAAAGTATGAAAAACAAAAATAAGTTTTTGCCCTTCCTGGCAATAAAACCTATTCTTATATATGAAACAGGTGTTTAAGATGTGCAAACAACCAAATAGATACCCTTTTACAAGGAATCGAGTCTGCATTAGCCACACAGTACTTGTGAACATGCAAACAAACATGCTCTGATAATATATGATCTATGGTCTTTGAAACTGATTGGCCTACACCAGAGGCAGAAGCCTTCTTGAGGGCCTAGGCTCACTACCAGTGTCAGAGTAGTGAGCAATGCTAAAAGGCGAACAGTACAAAGACCATGCACTATCAGAGCGTTTACAGCTCTGGGTGAGCAGCAATATCATGGGACCTTTTTGCCAGTACTAAAGTATGAAAAATAAGAATAGGGTTGATCCTGTCTGGCAATATTGTACCAACAAGTCGCCATTCGCCACTTAAGTGCCGGGGACGTCACCGCGGCGACCTGTGCCAGGCTAGGTGCACTTTGAGGCTACCACGTGAAGTGTCAAAGGCTCGCTGCTGGCAGGAGGTCACGGAACCAGACCCAGCTGGTGACTGAGATGACTGGGAAATGCACCAGCTGTGCCCCCCTACCGTGCCAACTCGCTGTATTTTATCCGCCAGGCGCTCCGCTCATTGTTGTGAGCGTCGCTCCTCTGCCCTCCGTTGTTGTTGGAGGGCGACTGCCTCCAAATGTCCAGTAGCAGCAGCAGCGTCCTTCACGAGCCTCCTCCACAGAGGCCGATCTTGACACCGCTGGTAGCGGTCATCAGCAAGACCACTCAACGCCACATCCTCCCGAACCGCACCAGCTCCATCTCTTGTCCAGCCCGTGTCGTGCCCGTTTAGCCCCCCTCGATCCGGACAAACAGAAGCTGCTTTGGTTGGGCACGTGCGGTGGCCGGGCACGTGCGGTGACCGGCCACGTGCGGTGGCCGGGCACGTGTGTGCTGCTTGACCTAGCCAACGCAGCCTTGCCTGTCGAAGGAGCCCCCGACCCGTGTAACTGCTGTTTAGACAGGGGGGGAGGCGGGGTGGCCAGCACCACGCCCGGCCGCCTTTGTGTCCCTAAGTGGCGATGTTTACACATCGCAACAGGCACTCATTTGAGGCTGAGTCGACCTAGGGGAGAGGGCTCGGGACCGGTTCAGGGGCTGTCCATAAATGACGTCACGCACCTGGTGGGGGGGGGGGGGGTCAGATATTTGTGACGATGTATGACGAAGGGGGGGGGGGGTTTGAGAAATGTGACGTCACATCAAAATGCGCAACTTTGAATAAATATAGACAACACGTTCTACTTAATTAAATATAATTTTAATAAATTTTTTCTCCTACAACATCAGAGTGCAGCGCCACATTAAATACGCACTACAATGACAATAGTTTAAAGCGATTTGAAGCATGTTTTATATTTTTTTGGGGGGGGTGCAGAGCTTTGTGACGTCATATATGAGGGGGGGGTCTGACTTTTTGTGACGCCGTGTGACGAGGGGGGGGGGGGTGTCGAAAATCGTCCAAAATCGCGTGACGTCATTTATGGACGGCCCTTCAGATAACCGTCACCGGTGTTGGCCGTGAGCGAGAATCGAACTCGGGTGGCCTGGGTTCGTAGCGCAGCGCGCTAACCGCTACACCACCGCTCCCCACGACATTTACACACGACTTGCTAACGCGCGCACACGCAACTGTGCTTACTGCACGTGTCCACTGCAGTGCGTATGCGTCCCGTGTACACGCTGCACATGTGCGCATTGCGAATGCAATAACTGCACGTGTACACACGCTCGACACGAAGACGTCGCCACGGCCCAAAGCCAGTGACGGATGCCAACCCAATGGTGCCAGGTGGTTGCAGATGAGAGAAGGGCACGCAGACACTTGAACAACACCCACAGCGAATTGTCACAAGAGGGCGCAGCATATACCGTAATCGCAGCCAGTGCCGGATTATATATCGTAGCAGCATATGTAGTTACATAATTTATGTAGCAGCTACGGAACCCCGCACTTTCAAGGGGCCCCGCGCTAAATGCTTTCAAGCTATCAATTCCGGTTCAGTGATTCTGCACTTGCTCTATTACTATAGTACTATACTGCCTTCAACTTTTATGAACGACTGGGTGTTTAAGGTTAGCGATTTGTCGTAGTATCTGGCTGTATAGCAAATGAAAAAATGCAATTACTTTACTGTGCAAGTAAAAATTTTGTGTTTAAATATTCATGTTTTTTTTTATTTAGGGCCCCTTTAAAACATATGATACAGGCCCCGCACGAGTTTAATCCGGCACTGATGGCAGCATCGTCTGAGAAATTACTTCACCAAGGAGATTAGTAATAGAACTAGGACCCCTCCCCTAGGGTAGATATGGAATCCTTGCCTATAAGATTGGCAGGTCATCGGCATTGGTCCGAGCAAAGCCTGACTTTTGATGCCGATGAGACACTTGAGTGTCTACACCGGTGCTTAGTACTGGTAGGAACCTTCCTGCTAACACCAGTCCACAGGGGATAATTGTGTCCGTCCATCCGTCGTGCATCCAAAAATTGGAGGGGTGGGGCTGGGTGGAGAGGGGAGGGTGGGGAGGGGCTGGGTGGGGAGGGAGGGGCTGGGGAGGGAGGGGTTGGGGAGGGGCTGGGTGGGGAGGGTGGGGCTGGGTGGAGAGGGGTGGGTGGGGAGGGGTTGGGGAGGGGCTGGTCACCCCGTGGTGCCCTTATAAAACTCAACGTTTAACCTACTAACGCCGGCTTGTGCCCGCCCTCACAGTCAGGCATATTTACACCACGCCGCCGTTGACCCTGGCCATTGACCGAGCAACCCAACGTTCCTACCAGCTCCCTCCGCAAGAATGTGTTTTTGCTTGTCCTGAATCAATGCTGCTGAAATGGTGCACTTCCAGAAGGCCCTGCGGCCAATG